TGCTTTACTGTCAGTTTCGAATATTAATTGTAACGGAAACATGTAAAATTATGCAATATCTGGATGAAATATGAATTATTTAGCTGTTTTGAACGATTTTTTTTTCAAAAAAATATGAGAAAAACTTACAAAATTAATAATGATGAAGAGGAAATATGTATATACAAACGCATACCTGACTGAAGCCGCAGTATGTGCCGATAATGGCGGCAGGAATGGCAGGAAAAAGGATGGCAAGCTTTGTGCCGAGAATGACTTCTTGGAGATTGGCGAGAAAATCTTTAAGACCTTTGTAAGGAACCTTCTGGATCACCCTGAGGTCTGATTTCTTCCTCAGCGAGGAAGAAGACATGTTGTGAGCTGTTCTTCCATGTCTCAGTTCTCTGCTCGATCCTTTTGCGGTCACGGGTGCGTTTCCGTTCCCGTTCTCCGCCGCAGACCACTGTTCAATCCCGGCCATTTCTCCTACTGATTCTTGTATATTGTAATGTTTTTGCTTTGCTGATTATTTATGTTGTGTCTGTAGAAAGAGTGGCGTCACAGATTTAAATACTGAGTAGTTTAATATTTTGGGGCCACACCAAGGCAGCTTCCACGAAGTTTCCCTTTGGTTTATAAATTTAATTTTGGGAGATTTTATTCCTTTTTATTCTGGAAACAAAATCTCAAACGGTAGATATATAGATAGGTGCAGTTTAAATTTGTAGTATCACATGGCTATCAAATCCAGACTCCTATAAAATCTCTGACTATTTGGTAACTACCACTTTAAGACTTATATAGCAAGTTTTTAATTTTAAAATATCCAACTTTGGTCTATAATATCTTTATCTACCAGCTAAATATTAAGTAAAAAACGAACGTGTTGGTCTAAAAAAAAGATCAAATGACTAAAAGATCAAAACGGCCATGTTGAACAAGTCGAGCTGTGATCCGTCTGGCGTCTGCCAGCCCAATATGGTTTGAAATACAAAAATAGAAACAAATTTCATGAAAACTATACTTATTAGAGTATGGATTGTAATTGAGTTGAAAATCGGTTATCTTGTATATTAAATCGGAAACTCTTTTTACATATAAGGGGCTCGATGTAACAACTTTTACGTCGGAGACCCAAGAGTTTGTTCTTTAATGCAAAAGAACCCGGTTCCGTATTGAAATGAAAGTCACATAAGAAAAGAATAAAAGGTATTGTCATTGGTAAAACACGTACGTGCTCTGAGAGTGTTCTTTGGGGAAATCCTAAGGGTCCAAAATGTGTCGTGTAGTTTGAAAACGAAGCTGCTGATTTTGCCATGTGCCTTTTTTACTTAACGAGGAGGTAAGTTGATAAAAAGATGGGAAGTGGCTGCTACCTTTTGTCCTCTATTTATTAAGGTTAACTTTTAGCTGATGTTAAAATCAGTCCTCAGACTCAGAGGTGGTCCAAAAGATTGAGATAAATGACACAATATGGAAGTCATTTGAAACCATTGAGAAATTAAAAGAAGACCTTGATGCATCATCGATTGAAGATATTATAAATAATGATAGAGTCTGCCGGCACCAATTCATTCCAAATTTTTAGAAATTTATAGTATTTTGTTCTTTGTACTCTTGATCGAGTGCACGATAGTGTTTCTAAAAACGGACTGGATGGTGATGCAAAAACTTTCTAGGTTGCAAATCAACCCGGTTCAAACCTAGTTCACAATTTTTATTTTTTAAATTACGTCTGTAAAATATAGCTTCCAACGAGTGTATATGTATATATGACTATGTAGCTTCGAAAGACATATACATACATATATACAAAATCACTTAACACTGTTTTTTTTTCTATTCTTTCGGATGTTCTCAAAGGGACTACTACTTCATAATATTTTTGTTTATGTATATCTTTTAATGGAAAACAGGGTTATTTAACATCCATCAAGCTCCAACACATTTTGATGACTTTACTACCACACCAATCCATACCCCCTATACAGATAGAATAAGAAGATATTGGAAAGATCACATCAAGAAATCGAGGAGTGAAGAACTTAAACTAACGGTACCATAAAGTACTCTTGAATAAAAGATTATAAAATTATACATCCACATAAATCCCCATCGGATGTACATTTTTTCTATCTCTTTTAGTCTTTTTTTCTCTCAACTCGATGGCCTAGAGAATCTTAACTTATAGCGCCACTAGTACACAGAGAACAAATTTTCGATATAAAGACTATGGCTCTATAGATCTATGTAAAACTCCTCGTCCTTTGATAGTGATTGAGTCGGAGGATCTAATTTCATCATAATATCAATATTTATTAAAATCATTGGTTCGTAAGCCATAACTAAGTACACTCAACGTATGCTTCCGAAGATTAGAGAATTAGGGAACCCAAGTGGGTAGATAAGGACGCAAACACAGCTGAAAGACGCATATGTCTTGTCCGAATACACCACAACATAATTATTTCTCGAAATACCCCACAAATCTTTGTTGATTTCGGAAGTTACACTGGTTTCTTGTTTGAGCTCATTAACATATGCGTATGGGCAACAATGGCCGAAAGGCCTTTGGGGTCACAATGATGAAACAGGCCAAAACCCAAAAAAACTTAATATGTAATTGACGTTAAAGGAAACTTCCCGGAAGCTGCCCTTGTTGAGGATACGTCTATGCACTTCTCACATGCATGTGGAAGATGTTGTTATCGACCCACCTTTCTTGGATAAAATATTACGATATTTTTTTGTCTGTTTTCAGAGATTTTCTAAAGTTTGATTGTACCATAGCGCCCACATTTTCTTTGTTTCATTCGAAGTTATACATGGTGTAGGGCATCTAGCCTAACGTGGTCACAGACCGTTTGACGAGTGGGTCCTTTAATATGTACGGTACGGAACAGGAGACTTGTATTATAGAATTTACAACCTTGTATCTTCTTAGAAGAAGTCATCATCATACAATATACAAAGGAATCATATCTTCTCAAAAAGAATCATGATCATAAATGACAATTACACCCGTAGATATATATATTATCTTAACGATTATTATGATGACTCGCATATATATTACCAGTAGTCCATTACAAAATTTGACATTTGGATTATTAATATTTGTACACGGCGATAAGAACATTATTCTACCGCTAAATTACAAATACTAATATAAGCAATCTTAAAAACCATAGAAATAGTATTATTCAGAACACAGAAGATATACTATAACCACGAAAAAGGGACGACTAAAAATATATTGAAGTTGTGGCTGGGTTTTGTTTCAGTAGCTGAAGGAAGCATGGGCATATCCACATGGTGACAAGGCCCGTGTGGATTTTAAAATCTATCTACAGTTTACCATAATAATTATTGCTATATTATTTCATTTGGCAACTGTTGCCCCATGTGACTACCATTGTCACGAGTTCGATCGATGCCCCCGGAAAATATTAGTTTTGTTCTAGATCTGCCAAATTAACAAGCTTAATTTTAAATACAATTGTGTTAAACTTTCTTAAATATCGGGTTAATAATAATGGACTCATTTGCATCTTTTGGTTAGAGGTTTAGATCCCACTCGTTCATCTCTACTCATTACTCATTAGCCTAATAAGCTTTGCAATTTATCAATGTGTCTACTGATTTAATTGCTAAGAAAGCGCTCTGTGATTTCTTGGCTCTATTGCCTGCAATGTAACACATTAGTTCTCGTTTTTAATGTATGAGTTGTTCAAAAAAAAAACAAGAGCTTGAGATGTTTAGTTTTCCATCAACGAGACATTCTGATGTTTTTTTGTTGGATGAATGAAGAGTATGAATTGTTTTCTCTTCAAGTTTATGAAAAGTGAGAAAAACTAATGGGTTGATCTTTGTTCACTTAGTGTTCGAAATTTTTTTTTGGTAAAGATACACAACACAAAACAAACACAAGCAATATGCATTTACATCTCATATAAAGCCAATCTCTTGTTTAAAAAAAAGTTTGATAGCATGCACTCAAGGCTCGTTCTAATAGAGTAACGACCGTTATGTTCTCTATGTCTTGATGGCTAAGTGCGTTCTACTTACCGCATCCGAAAGCCCGCCAAAGAAAAGATTCTTAAACTCTATGATTAATGTTTATCATATGAACCAAAGATGGCTAGAAGATTATTATGAGATTAAGGAACCAGCGACGAAATCGTTTAGCCCTTCATTTGGAGTTGGAAACCATTCATATAGGCAAGGGAAAAGCATCATCATCATACATGATACAAACATTTCTCTTTTCAAGACGACTTATATCTGATCAAGAATCAAGATCCAACGCTCCACACTTGCTTAGTGGTCAGCTTTCTCATCTCTCTTGGACTCTTTCTCAACACATCGACAGTTTATTAATTGTTACCTTATCTCAATAGTTCGGTAATGTTACAATATCATGAGATTAACCTTTCTTGTGTATGTATAATTCACTTACTTTGACCTGATTTAGCAGTTTTACCATCTAATAGAAAAAAATCATTTCTTATTAAATAATAAAAAAAAATACGATTTTTAAAAACCGATGTAGCGGTTGAACCAACTCCCAATAAACCGGTAAATTATTTTTTAATATACGTCTTGTGCTCGACCCAAATTAAATTCATAAACTATCGAGTGACTACAAAGGACTTTATTTTTTTTTTTAACATCTGAAACTTTATTAAATAGTGAAAGGAGCATACAAATATTTAACCAACCATTGAGGTGGGCTTACATTACATACAACATAAAGTACTCTACAGAATCATAAATACAAAGGACTTTATTCTTTGAATTTTTAAGAGTAAAAAGGAATTTATTCTTTGAATTTTTAAGAATAAATAGGAATTTATTCTGTTTTTTTGGAAGAATAAAAAGGAATTTTGGTATATGAGTGGAGGATCTAATCACAAATGTATAAGAAATTAAATAATTAATTGGCTGCTTTCTTAGTCGGAGCATTGAGAAGTGGGACGAAGCAAAATTCTCCTGGCGGCGGGAGAAGATCGGAAGAAGACATGGTCGGACCAGGAAGACCTCAAATCGTCCTCTTCGGTTCTTCAATTGTCCAGTACAGCTTCACCGATGGTGGTTGGGGAGCCTCACTCGCTGACATCTACGCTCGCACGGTCTGTGCCTTCTTCTTCTTCTACTCCTCTCTTCCAATTCCCAAGCTTCTGGAATCTACCGCGATGATTTAGAAAATGATGCGAATTCCTTTTTATTTTCTTCTGATTTTGACTGTGAATTTTTCGATGATGGCAGTCTTATAGTAAACCACTGATCTATCATGCAATTACAATTGAATTGACTTATTCCCAAGTGGAGAAACTGTTTCTGTGTGTAAAAGATTCAACTTTGTTATAAAAAAAAAAACTAATGATGGCCTTTTTACTCAGAGAATTTAACATTGTGTTTGTGGTTTGGTTGATGGATTTTCACAGGCTGACGTCATCCTTCGTGGTTACGCTGGTTGGAATTCCAGATTTGCCGTTAAGGTCTTAGACCAAGTGTTCCCAAAGGTACACTACTACTACTCTGTTTTCAAAGGAGTTAGCTTTATTGAGAATTGAACAATGAATCTGATATCTATCAACACTATAGTGAAACTAAGACTCTCAGTTCTGCAAAAGAATAAGCTTTTTGTTTTGTTTTGGTTTATAGGATGCTTTATTGCAACCTTCATTGGTGATAGTGTATTTCGGAGGGAATGATTCAACGTATCCTCATCCATCAGGAGGACAGGGACAACATGTTCCTCTCTCTGAATTCACTGAAAACATGAGGAAAATCGGAGAGCATCTCTTGGTAAAGTTTGTGACTTTTCCTTCTTCTTTTCCTTAGTGTATTTGCTAAAACACTCATTGGTATCTTCTTAACAGAGCCTTTCAGACAAGACCCGTGTCCTCTTTCTCACTCCTCCTCCAGTGAATGAGAAACACATCCAAGCACTTTTCGGGTAAACATCTTTTACAAAACCCGGTTTAATAATGTTCATCTTGGTATGAAGTTTTGACTGTGTAAAACTTCTCATGTGGTAGAGATGCAATAAGTGGCCGGACTAACGAGCGGTGCCGTCCATATGCGGAAGCGTTGTTAAACCTAAGCAGAGAGATCAATGTGAAAAGTATCGATCTTTGGACCGTGATTCAGCAAGAAGATGATTGGCTGAACACCTGCTTCACGTGAGAGCTTCTCAATCTTTTTTATTTACTCTAGAATGATTCTCTCTTCATCAAACTAGTTTTTTTAACTCCTTGTGTTGTTTGTTTTTTAAACTTGATAGAGATGGGATCCATTTCACGGCAAAGGCAAGCGAGATCGTCCTGAAGGAGATTTTGAAGGTGGTGAGTGAACCGGATTGGAAACCGAGTCTTCATTGGAAGTCATTACCGGTTGAGTTTCCTTTTACTTTTGGTCTAGCAAACTACTTGAACCTTTGTGACCAAGAGTTAACCAGAAACAAGCATTTGGAGCCAGAACCTGGTACGGACCGATTGTAAAACAACATATCATCTTTAGAGCTATCATGCTTCTTCTTCGTTGACTTCTTGGTATGGTGTACCATGATGTCTGGATATTCATATTGCCCAATTTAACATTTTATCTTATTCAAAGCTTTGGTTTGTATGATTATAAAAATTCACAACTCTATTATGAAAGCAAGTAAAATCGTAGCCTAATTGATCACAAAAATGGCTAACCAAAAAGGCTAACCACACAATGATGTTAAGTACTGGGGTATGTAATTGATTCCTTAAACATGGAGGGATTCAAGTTCTTTTAGCGATCAGAGTAAGGAAGATTTCGTATTAAGTTATAGACAAAGACGATCATGATCACGAAAGCAAGTAAAATCGTGGACTATGATGAGTGAAGATCGTCTTATGTTTTTGAGACATTTTCTTTACCAATTGTGACGATACAATTAGAATCGGATTAATTCATTCTTTAGATTCTAGAAACGGGAAAAAGTACATCAAGCCTCTCTCCAGGTCCTGATTAGTAAATTAGTATTTCGGTAGATAATAACTAGATATATAGACATAATGCAATAGACTAAGGTCGAGACTGGAGAGACACACTAAATCACAATAATGCAATAGACTCGGTGTGTTTTTATTCTCTTTGCATTTTTATTATGCTAATCATCATTAGTAGATTTATTCATTATTTCAATTCTAGAAACGGAAGAAAATTACAAATTTAAATCTTTCGAGGCTCTAATTAATTTGATAAACTATAAATAAGAGTTATGTACATTAAGATCACGAGCTGCAATAGATATAATATGTTATCTTCTACAATAACTCACACTTCTCAACTACTATAGGTCTTGCAAGATAAACTAATTCTAACGTTATAATCTTGCCTCTTTGTATGTTAATTTATTATGCTTATATGACATTACCCTCTCATGGTTCTAATCAATCACTATTCCGAGAGTTTAGAGTTTTCTTTAGCTTTAATCTCCTTTTCATATAAACTCTATTGTACGCACATTTAGACTTTAACGAGAAATACGAGAACAATCCGCAATCTTAGTATTATATTTGAATGATTTGAATTAAACATGAAATAATTTAGTTATTCCCAAGTTCTTTTTATCGTAAAGGTTCATGAGTTAAATTTTTTAAAAATGAATGTACACAAGACTAAACCTACATCCACCAATATAAACCATATCTTCTAATCTAAACTCTAACCCTACAGTAAATCCCCCCACCCCCCCCTTACTCTCAACAATTCATAAACATTTGAAAATTTCCACACTATAGATATAGTTTTGAAAATTTGCATCTGAGAGATGTATTTCATAAAATTTCTCTAAACAGTATACCTTAACCACATATTAGACAGCTTTTTTCTATATATATATATATATATAATGCGTTTTAAGCTGTATGAAAATAGGAAAAATGTACATACCATTTATTTATTGCGAAGAATTGTTTATCGATAGTACGTACCATATCAGATCTTCCAAATCTCATTAACAACGAAAGCATATACTGTTAATTTTCCAGTGTAGAAATTATTCCAAAAATCAGAGAACTAAATATTAGATACGAGTGTAAATATAAAAATTACGAAAAATAATAAATAAGGAAGGAATAAACGTTAATTGAACGAAGGTAAAACACAAATTATCAAAATACATGAGAAGAAGAAATTGGCAAAACTAAGATTATAAATCACGACAAAAACAAAAGAAGAGTTTATAGTGATATTGTCGTTATCTCTTAATATATTAGATGGTCGGTTAAGAATCTAGGGTTTCCATAAATATAACTTTTCCAAAATTATGGCGTGATCATAGAATTTAATTATTTTAATATATTGCAGAAGAAATGTGTGGATGATTTTTAAAAGGTGAAAGATGCTTAAATATTTAAGAATAAATTGTTTACTTTGAATAAAAGAAATTCTATAATATTTTTTTTAATTAAGAAACTAATTAATAATAAAAAGTAAATTTAAAATATATTCATAAAATTTTCATTAAGGGTAAATTGGTCTTCCCGCGGCCGAGAGCGGATGTAATGCCAAATTCTGACTTTGCAAATACTATAATGATATGAGAACATATATATTCTTATAATTAAATAATTAATACACGTTAATGCATTTTCAAACGCTAACGTTTTAGTTATCATCATCTGAGCTAGTTGCTTGCAGTAATATCATTTGCTAGATGAAATTTTTTATTTTGAATTTACTTCATTACTAATTTTGCAGTTCATCATACCCATCTACCAAACAAACCCTAGATTTAAGATGATATCTTTTACAATAACTCACGCTTTCTCAACTATTATACTAGAACCTGAAGCTCACATTACATCTGAGATAATTTAATTATAGGCTTATAGCGTTAAATTATGTCAAGTTATCGTTAATAGATTTAGACGTAAAAGTTAATCGGACATTTTATATAACATGCAATAGATTCATTATATTATCTTCCACAAGGCTTTGGAGTTACAAAAGAGCTAACCGGAACACATCAGTGTTTTCTAGCTTGTGATTCTTGACAGCTCTTCCTCAAGCTTTCTGCAGACTATCCTAACATCACAAACACACATTATATAAGACAAACTGATTTTTGTAGAGAAATTTAATGTAGTTAATATTAAACGTTGACCATTAAGAAATTAACTAGCTACCGTAAATAACCTCTGACCATTAAAAAAATTATTTAGACTAAGTGCCGAAAAAGAGTTTTGAAATATGTCTACATGCATGATATTAAGTATTTTTTGTATTTTTCTTAGAAAAATTGAGTCATGGAATATATCTAAATGCAGCCGTTACACTCTTAACACAAAAGGAAATATATCTAAATGATAGGTGGCTATTACACAAAAGGAATATAATTTTTGACCAGTAAGAATTACCATGTATATCCATGTATTTCCTTATTATACAGCTAATAAATAAACTTCATTGAAGGTAATTAAACTTAAATTTATGAATTTTGGTCAAGGATAAATTAGGTAATCTATTTGAAACAAATAAATTTTAAATTGTAAAACGCCATCGTTTTCAGAAACAAAACCATTTCTTGAAACCACAACAAAACAACACATGAACAAAAACCATTTTTTTGGTAAAACTACAGAAATACCCCTGAAAAGTGTCCAGCCTTTTATTCCATTTCACTACCACCGTCGTTTATCTCTGTGTTCAACAACGAGGAGAGAAAAAAGACGAAGAAGACTCTCCGGTGTTGTCCACATATTGAAACTGTAACCGTCGCATTAATTGTCTTGCCACTTTCTCCATGGATTCACTCTCTCACACATGCTCAGGTTTCCCTCGTCTCTCATAATTAGGGCTTCCTCAATTGCGTATATAACAACACCTCTCCCTTCACTCATCTTCTCATGCTTCCTTATCTTTTTTTTGGTCTAATCTCTCTCTAAAACAAAGAACGCCTGAGATGGATTCTCCTCCTCCTCAGCTTACATCGTTTTCATCTACCACATCTTCTGCGTCCGATGTGGTTGTTAGCCGAGGATCTGTTCGCTGGTTTAACCGCCGGTACGGTCGGGGTTCGACTCTGACCGATGTTTCCTTGAGGGAGAACGCTTCGACGGACGAGGTCGACTTCACCTATTCCTGCGTCGCCGTGGTTCTGCTTCTCTGGTTCATGGGTTTGTTTGTTCATCCCAACATTTTTTTGTTTTAATTTCAGTTGATTTTGGTCTTTTGCTTTTTGGTCTGATTGAATTCTCGATGACTCAGTGGCGGCGAGTATGGTGGTTGTTATTTACGGACCAACGAATGTCTGGATTGGTCCGAATGCATCCATGCTTGATAAACCAAACCCCATTTTCGTCAACAGCGTTCAGGTAGTTGACTGTTTCTCTCTCTAGATTCTTTTTTTCTCTCTCTTCTGTGCTTAGATCTTGAGAGTGTTTTTTTTTTTTCTGTTTGTTAGGTGAAGCAACTGGATGATTCAAAAGCTGGAGGACTTCAACTGTTTGGGTTCTATGAAGCTCCACCTCTTGATGTCTTTGTGAATTGGTCAGAATTCCGCTCGGTGTCTGTCTCTCGCAAATCTTTCAAGGTAAGGTCTTAAGATGGATTCTCAGGACGGTTTTGTTTGAAACCTTTTATTGCATGCATAGAAAGAGAGTAATGGATCTTCTTTTAAAGCACTCATTTTTTTTCAGACAGTTATTGTACTTTGATTAGCATTGAATTCTCTTTTCTTATTAGACACAATTGATTGATCTGATTTTGATTTCTCTTGTCAGGGATGGCCATACTATCTGAACAAAGGATCTTCTTTGAATATTTCATACAGCATTAAACCGGAAAACCGTTGGGTTCGGCTTGTGGTTGAGGAAGGTTTGTTAATTTTGTGTTTGTGATAATCTGTTCTTGTTTTTCTGGTTTTTGTTCTGTGGTCTTCTTTGGTTTGTCTTCTTCTATGCTTGCCTGATGTTTTGATATTCCCAATGAGTCTTGATAGAGTGAAAAAATGATGAACACAAAGAGATACTGTACCCTGGAGTCACCTTTTTTTTAATTGTAGAACACGAAACCGATAAACCCTTAAGATAAATTTCCTCAATATGTGTCTGGCGATGTTTATCATGAATGAGAGTGAGTTGTTTGTTTGAAAGTGTTGACTTTTAGGGATGTAAACTGATTATTTGAATTGTTCACAGCAAAGGGAGGCTTCTCCAAGTGGTTACTGAGCGAAACTGGTTCCAACGACGAAACCTTCTCACGGAGTCTGATTAAGGGTTAGTCAAATGAGAGTTCTAAGTTAAAACGCATTGGTTTTTCAGGATTTTAATAACAAATCCTTTTTAACAGGGAGTGGTATGATGGAAGTGAAGATAAACACGTCTTCAGATTATTATGTTGCTGTGGTTAACTCCAACATGACGGATGTAACGGTAATTAATAGTTACTACTAATCGAGTAGATGACTTTCAGATTGAGTTTTGGTTTTTTAACTTGAGATGATATTTGTTGGTTCAGGTGAAAGTGGATGTCAATGTGAGTGCTGTCTTGTATGATACTAAAGATTCATTCTTCAAGTGTGCCTTCAGCGACGGCGAGTGTACATTCAATGCAATGTCTTTTTCTGGGAACTCCATTCTCTTAACCTCACCAACGCCGAGACAGGTATGTGTTGTGTGTTCCTAAAAACAAAACACCATCAGAGTTGTATATAAATGCTAATCTCTCAGTGGCTCATCACTCAGGGAGCATCCATTGGAGAAGAAGAAGAATGGTATGTCAGGTTCACATTTCAACCTAGATGGACTGCTTATGTAGTCGTTACAGGTAAACATACATTTCAATCGAGCATTTGGAAAAGTTTCTCAATCGGAATCATTTACAATGTTGTATTTTTTCTTTGGATGTTCAGGTCTGTTGGCTTGCTTCATGCTGGTATCTATACAACTTTGGAAAAAGTTCTTTTGGCAAAAGTTCGTACTACCGTATATTGTAGATGAGTTTGATGATTCGTGGAGTTCTCAGAGAGCACGCCTACTTGCAAACAAAGATGACGACGACTCATCGTGTAACGGGTCTTTAGCAGGAGATGATGCTGATCTTGATGATTTCGTGGGTGAAGAAGGAAGTAAAAGCACCACCAGACGTATGTGTGCCATTTGCTTTGATGCAGCAAGAGACTGTTTTTACCTTCCCTGTGGCCATTGCGTCTCTTGCTATGGATGTGGAACAAAGTAAGTCCAACGATATGTACACATATCAAAAATATAGTGGTTTGCAAGATTGTGTGATTGTGTTGGGATCTTGATCTTACATATCTAACATGTTGATGGCTAATCTGTGCAGGGTTGTTGAAGCTAATGGGACTTGTCCGATATGTCGCAAGTGGATCAAGAAAGTGAAGCGTATATATACCGTGTAAAATGATGAATGTCCAACATAATGTGCAATCTATAAAGCAATATCAGTAATAAATAAAAATATAATTGGTATCAACAAGGCTCTCTCAGTTCTTTCAATGCATTTGTTCTTCAGTACAGTTCTTATCACATACTTGACCAACACAAACCTCTCTTCTCTTAATTTCTTGATTTCTTCTTACCTTTGGATTTTCAAATCCAGAAATGATAGTGTATGAACTGATTTCAAGGAAAGAAAATAAATGTCACATCATTTGTCCATAGTATTGAAGACTGGAGATTGGAATGAAGAAGTTAATTAAAGAAAGAAAAAAGATTACAATGAAGTTTGTGTGAATATATGAGAAGCTTTTAGATGAATGACTATGACAATCCGTGAGATAGAATTATTATTTTTTCAATTATATTAAGTTTATTATTACAATATTGAGATTATTTGTCAATTTTGTTTTGATTCAGAGAAATATAGATTTGGTTTGATAATTTTAGAAAAAGTAACAGTTATTATTTTCATTTTAGAAACAACAATAATCAAGTTAATAGTTGATACTACTAAATAAAATATTTTATTTATTATTTAACCTCTTTCACCATCTGATTATTTATAGAGAAATGATAAGATTAACCCTAGATTCACCGCTTTATGTTCACCAAAAAGACGGAAATAATCATAGGTTTGAGATTCTGCTGGACTATTACGTGTAGGGTTAAATTAAATACATTACTTTAAAAATATATGAAGGATCCCACAATTATATCCAATTATAATTTTTGTTTTGTACTTTTCTATTATCAAAGAAGGAGATAAGTTTGAATGAAGTTCCACATATCTCGATAATGAAAATTAGGGTAATGATATAAATAAGTTAACGGATATAACCCTAGATAATTGATAAATTTAAAGAGCCATTATGATAATTTTTGTCGCTTGCTGTTCACCGAAAACAACGGAAATGATCATATGTTTGAGATTCTGCTGGACTATTACATGTATGAATAAATTAAATGGGATCACACTATTTTTAAAATATATGAAGGATCCGACAATTATCCAATAATAAATTTTATTTTGTACTTTTGTATTATCAAAGAAGGAGATAAGTTTGAATAAAGTTCCAAGTATCTCGAAAATGAAAATTAGGGTAACGATATTAACAAGTCAACATATATAGCCCTAGATAAATGTTAAATTTAATGAGCCATTATGATAATTTGTGTCGTTTTCTGTTCACCGAAAAACGACGGAAATGATCAGATGTTTAAGATTCTGGTGGACTATTACATGTATGAGTGAACTAAATGGGATCACATTATTTTAAAAATATATGAAGGAACCGACAATTATATCTAGTTATAAATTTTATTTTGTACTTTTGTATTCTCAAAGAAGGAGATAAGTTTGAATGAAGTTCCACGTATCTCGAAAATGAATATTAGGGTAACGATATTTAACAAGTCAACGGATATAGCCCCAGATAAATGTTAATTTTAATGAGCCATTATGATAATTGTGTTGCTTCCTGTTCAACAAAAAACGACGAAAATGATCATATATTTGAGATTCTGATGGCCTATTACGTGTATGAGTGAATTAAATGGGATCACATTATTTTAAAACTATATGAATTAGGAACCGGCAGTTATATCCAATTATAAATTTTATTTTGTACTTTTGTATTATCAAAGAAGGAGATAAGTTTGAATAAATTTCCAAATATCTCGAAAATGAAAATTAAGGTAACGATATTAACAAGTCAATAGATATAGCCCTAGATAAATGTTAAATTTAATAAGCCATTATGATAATTTTTGTTTTTTCTTGTTCACCAAAAAATGACGAAAATGATCATATGAATGAGTTAAATGGGATCACATTATTTTAAAAATATATGAAGAAAACGACAATAATATCCAATTATAAATTTTATTTTGTACTTTTGTATTATCAAAGAATGAGATAAGTTTGAATGAAGTTCCACATATCTCGAAAATGAAAATTAGGGTAACGATATTAACAAGTCAACGGATATAGCCCCAGATAAATGTTAAATTTAATGACCCATGCATTATGATAATTTTGTCGCTTCCTGTTCACCAAAAAACGACGGAAATGATCATATGGTTGAGATTCTGTTGGCCTATTACGTGTATGAGTGAATTAAATAGGATCACATTATTTTAAAAATACATGAATTAGAAACCGAGAATTATATCCAACTATAAAATTTAATTTGTACTTTTGTATTATCAAAGAAGGAGATAAATTTGAATGAAGTTTCATGTATCGTGAAAATAAAAATTAGGGTAACGATATAAACAAGTTAACAGATATAACCCTAGATAAATGTTAAATTTAATGAGCCATTATGATAATTTTTGTCGTTTCCTATTCACAGAAAAACGACGGAAATGATTTTGAGATTTTTGTTGGACTATTACGCGTATGAGTGAATTAAATGGAATCACATTATTTTTAAAATAAATGAAGAAACCGACAATTATATCCAATTATAAAAAAACATTTTGTACTTTTGTATTATAGAAAAAGGAGATAAGTTTGAAAAAAATTCCAGATATCTTGAAAATAAATATTAGGGTAACAATATTCACAAGTTAACGATACATTAGGGTAACATTGTTAATAATATAAGTTGTAATAACATTGCTAACATTGCAAATTAAAAAGTTTTTCTGCTTACATCATACTAATTCCTAATAGTTTTAGGAGGGTGTATTGGAAAATGGATTTTAAAGATTTTAGGTGATTTTGAGGTCGTTTTAAAAAACCCTGTTATTCAAATAAGTATTTTTAAATGTCATTTCAAATTCAGTGTTATTGAATATGGAGTTTTAGAAAGATTATTTAAAATCACTTACCAAACCCTGTTATTGAATTAGTCATTTGTGAATCTTAAATCAAATTACTGTTATTCAAAATAAACAACTATTTGGAGAAAAACTTGTCATATGATTTTTAGGAGATTTAACACCTATTTTTATGACAAAATATGGCCAACGAAAATAACACCCATTGAGGTGTGATTTGGAGAAGATTATTATAAAAAAAAAGTGAAAGGACAAAATACATAACGAAGCTGTCATCGTTTCCAAAACTCACTCATCTGTTTTCATCTCTCTCATTCCCATCGAGTTGCTGTGTACGAGTATGAAGATCGATGGAAACCATTTGCTTCTCCTCACCAACGCATCAAATACCTCAAATTCGTCGGCGGTGAATCGACGGAAACACGATCCGGAGCATTCACGGGACAACCGAGAATCCGAGGGGCAAAATCAAAATAGTAGAAGGATCTTCTCCATTCGTCGCGTGCTGGATCGAGTCCACGCCGACGGAGGAGTACACAATTAAGCTGCCGGAGTTATCGATGCAGCTCTCTTGTAGCATCAGCTCTACAGTATACAAAACACAAATCCAAAATTTAAATTTTATTATAAAAAATATTCTTCTGAAATCGTAAATCAGTTTCAATCTTTGAAATTTACATTGATTCGAAGAAGAGAGATGCAATTTCCAGGATGTGAACCAATGGCGATGTGTGCAACTTCATGTGGTGAATTTCCATTGAACATAACCTCCAACGTCAAAGAGAAAACAAAATCAAAATTGATTCAAATACTTTAAGCCCTAACTAGATTCATAACAGAAAGAAAAGTGTGGTTTTGGTGATTACCTGATGAAGTTGATCGTGGAGGAGATTAAAGACTTGAAGATGAGAAAAGGGAAGCCAAGTGGTAGAGACAGCGCAAAGAACAACACCTGTAGGCTGACCAGGCTCGCACGTTTTCCTCATTGTGTTTCTGAACTGGATTTGAAAAAATTGGATCTAAAAAAACTTCCTCATGCAATTCGATTGCAGGTTTTTTTATTTTTCTTTGTGTGAGTTTTGGTTGCTTTATTGACTTTGCTATATCCATTGTTAAGTATATTAAAGTGGTGCTGATGGCAATATCGTAGTACATGGTATTATGATACTAGTTAGGACTTTCGAAGAACAAAGAAGAATGGAAATACAGGTTTTTGAAAGGAACGATCCTGCAGTTACCTCTCTCTGTTCTCAACTTTGTTGTGGCTGTGTGTTATCCTCTCTCTGTTCTCAACTCTGTTGTGCAGGTTTTTGAATGGAAATACAGGTTTTATGTGTGTTATCTTACGATCTTATTCGTTGAGAAGAAGATCTCGTTACAATTTGTGGCTTTTTTATTTCATGATAAATCATTCAAAACTCACCATAAAATCCCATAAGAATCACCCAAAATTTCAAGACATTTTCTGAAATCATCTTAAATCCCACAAAAATCTCCTAAAATCTTCTAAAAACTCTTAAAACCACCTAAAATACAAAATCACTCAAAAACACCTAAAATCTTTAAAATCCATTTTCCAATACACCCCCTTTAACCTTTAGGTATGATCAAAACCGTCATAAAAATCTTATGTATAATATATATTTTATTTGGTGTTTTTTCTTATTACAACTTCAAACCAAAATATACAGTAAACAAGGAATATTAACTAAATTCTCCCTTATTTATATATACATAATCATTATTTTCATTCATTTGATTTCTCCAATTATTTTCATTTAAATGTCTTTTTTGTCATAATATCAGCCTTTTAAAAAAATTATAAACACTTACATATACTGGTTTGAATTGCATTTTGAGAAAAAAATATTTCAATTATGAACCAGCTATCTGAAATAAAATTTAGTGGTTCTTCCAAAAACACGATGACACACAATGAAACAAATAGGGAACCGAGCTCCACGTCAGCAACCTCTATCTACACATAAAGAAACAAATCTTCAATTTTGTGGTCAAAGATTTAAGACTTCCATATATGATTCTCTATTCCAGGATCCATTCATAACTCACCTACTCCATCGTTTTCAACCGTTGGATATACATACTTTGACTATCTTCCCACAATCTGATTGCCCACAATCCACACACAAATCTCCATTCGCGCCCTCACTCACTCTCTTCTCCATAAATATTCCCCTTCCTCTCTACAACTCTCTCACAAAACCCTAAAAAAGATGGCGGAAGGAACCGGAGTTGTGGCGGTGTACGGAGAAGGATCCATGACGGAGACGACGAAGCCCCAGCAATCTCCGTTTTCCGTCAAGGTCGGTCTCGCCCAGATGCTCCGTGGCGGCGTAATCATGGACGTCGTCAACGCCGATCAAGCGCGAATCGCCGAAGAAGCCGGCGCATGCGCCGTCATGGCTCTCGAGCGTGTTCCCGCCGATATCCGAGCTGAAGGCGGCGTCGCGAGGATGAGCGATCCGGAGATGATTAAGGAAATCAAGAAGGCGGTTACGATTCCGGTGATGGCGAAGGCCAGAATCGGTCATTTCGTCGAGGCTCAGATCCTGGAATCAATCGGCGTCGATTACGTCGACGAGAGCGAAGTTCTCACTCTCGCCGACGAGGACCACCACATCAACAAGCAGAATTTCAAAATCCCTTTCGTTTGTGGATGTAGGAACCTCGGCGAGGCCTTGCGCCGGATCCGTGAAGGGGCCGCCATGATCAGGACTAAAGGAGAGGCCGGAACGGGAAACGTCGTCGAAGCCGTGAGGCACGTGAGGAGTGTGATGGGAGCGATTCGCTCGCTGCAGACCATGGACGACGACGAGGTGTTCGCGTTCGCGAAGAAGATCGCTGCGCCGTACGAATTGGTTGTTCAGACGAAGCAGTTGGGGAGATTACCGGTGGTTCAATTCGCCGCCGGGGGAATCGCTACGCCGGCGGATGCGGCGCTGATGATGCAGCTGGGATGCGACGGAGTGTTTGTCGGGTCGGGGATTTTCAAGAGCGGAGATCCGGCGAAACGGGCTAAGGCGATCGTGCAGGCGGTGACGAATTTCAGGGACGCGGCGGTGCTGGCGGAGGTAAGCTGTGGTTTAGGAGAAGCAATGGTTGGTATCAATTTGAACGATAAGATTGAGAGGTTCGCTAACCGCTCTGAGTAACCAATCAAAATTCTCAGATATGTTTTTATTTTGATTTAAAAAGTTTCATGAAAATGTACTCGTGCACAATAAATGTTAGTTTATCATTTGGGCCCATTGGGTCTTTGCTATTAAATTCAGATATGATATTTGTTGTTTCTGATTTTTTATACTTTTTCGCATCACACAGCTCTTAACCAATCTTTTTTTTTGAACATCACTCTTAAGTCTTAACCAATCATTCAACACTTGCAATATGCTAAATAGTAAATACACGATTGAAAAGTAAACATGAGTAGCTGATTTGATACCAAGTATTGAAGTTAAGATTTCTCACATAGTGTACGCTTTACAATTTATTTAGGGACAAAACAGATTATATTTGGGATGTATCATCTGCTTGTAAGAGTGAATCGACCTGATTTTTGCCACAAGGACCCTTTTGCCTAATCAGAAGACGGTACTCGTCAAACCTGATCGGTTTATAAAGAGCAGGTTGGTTTTCACTTAATAGTTCCCTGACTGGTCCGATCGAGACATCACTTCTCGGGTTGTAGAAGAGTGCCAAAGAGACTCGATCCATACCGGAATTAACAATCACCTGATGCTCCACGCTTTTGTAAATTCCATTGCTAAGTATCTACAATTTGGTCCAAGCATATTATTGGTTAGTATTCGAATATTTTGAACTACTTTCAATAATATCACATAATATCAAGATCACCACATATATATGAACTTTGGCCCAACACTTGCAAATATCGTTCAAGAAATGTATGCATATTAAAATTTTGGGTGAAAACACCTAGTATTGAGAAATTTTGCGTAGAATAAATATGGCGATGTTCTTGCTACACAAGTTATCCCCCAAACAAAAAAAAAATCGAGAAGGTAGAAAATAAGAAACAATACCTGAACCTGATCTCCGATGTTAACGATCAAAGCATTTGGGACGGATTTGACGGTGACCCAACCGTCACCACGACGGACCTGGAGGCCTGCGACCTTCTCGTCCGGGAAGACAACGGTGATGCAACCAGGGTCAGAATGGGAAGAAAGACCTAAAGTGAGCTGTGGCTGAGGGCATTTTGGGTAGTAATTTGCCCTGAGAGCAGCCTCGACTTTGTCTTCTCCTCCGAAGGCTTTCATGAGACGGTTTGGTTCTAAACCTAAACTCTCCGACAATGTCTCCACCAGCCTCTCACACAGTTTCGTCACTTCTTCTCCGTACTCTTCAGTCAATTCTCTGCACATTACTTTTCTAGTAATGTTAGTCAATATATAGTCACGAATCATAATTTTCATATCCTTGGTTAACAAGTTTATTTTTTTAATTGGTTGCCTATGGATCAAGTATTTGAGATCGATTTACTACTAGACTAATTAACCCACAATATTTACTGTTTTTTGTCAAGATATAACACCAGATCTAAATTCGATTAGTGACATGACAACAACACTAGTTCAAATTGTTATAAGAACTGTCGTAGAACACATAATTTTTGCTTGTGTCATGTTATGCCAATTGTTATAAAGGAATTCATGTTATAAATAGCGTACATATAGTATTGTCATACTATATTGTAAGAAAACAAATCATGTTTCACGTGGATTTGACCGCATGTAACGTACACACGAGACACGTGGCTATTTAAACATTTAGACCAAACGGCCATGTGTGACGTATGTCACGTATATGCTGCAATAATGCGAGCAGTAATTCCACATAATTCAGATGCATCAACCCCTAAACATCAAAACAAACACAAGCAACGTGTCCCACATGGAAAACATTCACTTAGTTGCAAATCTCTTTTAGTAAAGGGCTTCGTTAAAAACGTATACTCTCAGAAATACAAATAAATATCCACTCTCGTGATCTTAAATGGAATTTGAAAAAGTTTTGTTTAAAAAAAATTCACTTCACATTAATTATATCGAGCGGGTGATAATAGAGAGGAGATAAGAGAAAATTTGTGTTTTGACATATATATGTCAATGTTTGGTTTAGGTTTAGGTACACGTGAATGTATAACAGAAAACTAAACATTGAAGTTTCGATTTCTCACATAGTGTACGGTTTACATTTTATTTAGGTACAAATAAGTACATATATAGGAGTATATGAGTGACAGATTATATTAGGGATGTATATCAATTGTATCATCTGCTTGATAACAGTGAATCGACCTGATTTTTGCCACAAGGACCCTTTTGCCTAATCAGAAGACGGTACTCGTCAAACCTGATCGGTTTATAAAGAGCAGGTTGGTTTTCGGTTATTAGTTCTTTGACTGGTCCGATCGGGATATCACTTCTCGGGTTGTAGAAGAGTGCCAAAGAGATTCGATCCATACCGGAATTAACAATCACCTGATGCTCCACGCTTTTGTAAATTCCATTACTAAGTATCTACAATTTGGTCCAAACATAATATTAGTATTCGAATCTGATTCCCATTTCAAAAAAGTAACTCAAAATATCACATAATATCAAGATGACCACATATATATGAACTTTTGCCCAACACTTACAAATATCGTTAAAGAAATGTATGCATAGTAAAATTTTGGGTGAAAACACATAGTATTGATAAATTTTGGTTAGAAAAAATATGGCGATTTTTCTTGCTACACAAGTTATCCACACTTATCCCCAAAAAAAAAAGAAATTAAAATTCGAGAAGGTAGAAACCAAGAAACAGTACCTGAACCTGATCTCCGATGTTAACGATCAAAGCATTGGGGACGGATTTGACGGTGACCCAGTAGTCACCACGACGGACCTGGAGGCCTGCGACCTTCTCGTCCGGGAGGACAATGGTGATGCCACCAGGGTCAGAATGGGAAGAAAGACCTAAAGTGAGCTGTGGTTGAGGGCATTTTGGGTAGAAATTTGCCCTGAGAGTAGCCCCGACACTGTCTTCTCCACCTAAGGCCTTCATGAGACGGTTTGGTTTTAAACCTAAACTCTCCGACAATGTCTCCACCAGCCTCTCACATAGTTTCGTCACTTCTTCTCCGTACTCTTCAATCAATTCTCTGCACATTATTTTTCTCGTTATGTTAGTCAATAGTCACGAATCACGATCTGCTTATATTTGAGATAATATACGAGCTATCATAATTTCCATATCCTTGGTTAATAAGTTTATTTCTAATTGGTTGCCTATAGTCTATAGATCAAGTATTTGCGAGATCGGTTTACTACTAGATTTTGTGAACTAATTAACCCACAGTATTTACTGGTGTTTCTCAATATATAACACCATATTTAAATTCGATTAGTGACATTACAACAACACTAGTTCAAATGATTATAAGAACTGTCGTCGAACACATAATATTTGTTTGTGTCCATTTATACCAATAGTGTATATATAGTGTTGTCATATATTGTAAGAAATAATCATGTTTCACGTGAATTTGACCGCATGTAACGTACACACGAGGACGAGACACGTGGCTAAATAAACATTTAGACCAAACGGCCATGTGTGACTGTGTGACGTATATGCAAGCTGTAACTCCACATAATTCAGATGCATCAACGCCTAAGGCCTAACAATCAAAACACACACAAGCAACGTGTCCCCCATGCAAAACATTCACTTAGTTGCAAATCTCTTTTAGTAAAGGGATTCGTTAAAAACGTATCCTCCCAGAAATGTAAATCCATATCCACTCTTGTGATCTTAACAAAAGAATAATGGAATTTCAAAAAGTTTTGTATCAAACAATTTCTCTTCACATCAAATAATAACCCTATATCGAGCGGGTGATAAACGAGAGGAGATAAGAGAAAATTTTGGTCTTACAGTAGTAACTAAATTTGGTTGATTCTATTGATCTATAAATAAAAGTCATAGGTCAATAACTTACTATTTTTATTTTATATATTCACGTACCTAAACCTAAACCAAACATTGACATAGGTGTCAAAAACAAAGAAAAATCATGTCATGGGGGTTGATCATATCATTTTGTTTTTTTAACAAACGACCATTTATCTGAAATTACGCGAGTGTATATGTATATACCTGATCTTAGGAGGCTGAGATGGCCACTTAGAAGGGCTTCTTATGGAAGAAGGCAAATAATTGAGGAAGAAGTAATCACTCCAATCTAACTTAGCATCTTTCACAACCCCAAGTCGGCTTCCATATCCTTCGTACGTCTCCGGTGAGTTCGCGTACTTTCGTTTCTCTTCTAAGGGAAGCTCAAAGAACTCTCTCCACGCTCCTCTCATTCTCTCCATCAGGTCGTGGCTCACACCGTGGTTCACCACTTGGAAGAAACCCCACTCCTCACACGCGCCCCTTACGCTCATTAGCCCCTCCGGTTTCCCCCACACCTTGCTCATGTCTACCACTGGAATATCCATGTCAGCATCGGATTGGTTGGAGTTGTACACTGGTCTCTGATGAGCCGGTTTCACATACCGGTTTGGGACGGTGGATATGCCGGTTTGGGACAAGGCTTGAACGGAAACAATCGGCTCAGGCCAGCTTGCAACCATTTGTTATATTGTTTTGTAAATTGGTTTGGTATTGGGAAAAAGGTTTAGAAGATACTCAAGGAGAGAGATATAAGTGAAAGTATGAATGTTTTAGATGATGGAAGAAGCGAGGACGAGTAGGGATATAAATATGGAAACTTTTTTTTTTTGTTAAAAATAAATATGGAAACTTTTAACCGAAATGAAACGTGAAACAATTAAAAATGATGCGATATTCTATTATTCCTACTTTTTGTTGATTTTGAGGTCGACCTAATAAGCTTTGCATGTTAAGCTAGTTGGATGATAACCATAATAGGCACGTTTTTTTGGTTAAAGAATAGGCACGTTTCGTATTAGTTCTGGATAGATGTCGACAATTTTGTTTTTTTGTTTGTTTTTGTCTGTTGGTTAAATGACTTTTAAAGTGAGGGGGATGGGAACCAATTTCGGCGCCGTGCTCTACAGTTTGGATCTCATTTATTAATGACTTTTTTGTCTTTTGTTAATTGTCGTGTCCAATGAATATAACTCTTATATGTGTAGTTAGTTGTCGTGTCCTAGTGTAGTTTTTTTCAAACTACTTAAATAGTTAAATCTTAGGATACAAGCTTTCTTTTTTGGGTTAAATCTTAGGATACAACCTTTACCTTCACAGTGAAATCTGTTGTTTAGTTTCTTTCTTTTCTTTTGTAACAGAATATCATGTTTTCTGCTTCTTCTACCTTTTTTTTTCATTTGTAGCAATAGCTAGATACATAATTAACACAAAAGACAAAAGTAATATGTAACTATGTTTTTATTAAGCTATTATACAAGTGTCTAGGTATATAGTCATATAGATGACCTATTGCTGCCGGCAAAGAAAGAAACGACTTAGCGTAGAACTATGAGTTTTCATCTAAAATCCACCGCATCGACTAAAATATATCACGTTTTAAAAACATGACATCGTGAAAAAAGTGATATACTACTATTTATTATTTAATTTTTTTAGGGGGTAAAATGATGTTTCTGGTGCTATAAAAAATATCGTTCTTCTTATGTGATTGATAAACCATCAACAAATTTACATCGCAAAACTCAAATTTTAAAGAATAAAAGTCCCTTTGTTCCTTATCCATGATCATTTCTAAATCTGCTCATGTAGTCGAGCAGATTATGCTTATTTTAATTTTATCAATTGAAATTTGAAAGTAAACAAAACATTTTACTTAGTGAATAATATATCTAAAGCGCTCACAGTGAGAGCACAGCCACTTGTAACGTATTATAAACCTAATTTCTTGTTCAATAAAAACTGCATTTTCAAATAGAAATTTAAACACTTCCTCAACCATATACTTAGACAACAATTTCTTTCTTTGCGATATTACTGACTGATAATAGCGGGGACCATATAGTACAAATACGAAAAAATAGGCAATGTATAATTATGCTCATGTCTTAATTAAACCAGCTGAGTATTTATGTTGAAAGGGTCTCAAATAGGCTAATCAAGAAAATGGCTTGATATACCTCATCATTGCGAAGGCTAGTGCTTAAGTGAAATAAAATAATGTTTTCTTTTATTAGAAAGAAAAAATGTTATATACTTATGTCGACAAATTGAATATTTATTTGGGAGATTAGATTCCACACGAAAGTGAAGATGCGTCGGCTATTTCGTATTGATCTAGTTGAAACTTATTCACGCATTTATTTTTAGTGTTCTTGTGTGATTTATCACCGAAGTTCGTTCTGATATTAAAACAAACTCACCGAGGTATCTCCTTCATGGTTTTTTTTTCTTGATAAAGAGTTTACTTCGTCGTCTTCAAGGTAGAAATTTGACGTCACAAAAAGAAAGAAGTTATAAATATCTATGTCGTCATAAAATAGAAAAAAGTAAATACTAGATTGCGTCAGCAAAGAAATTTTGTGCACCGAATATGTTGAATAGTCTAAACGTAACTGATGTGTGTGATTGTTAACAAAAATTGTACATCTAACTCGTTGATTGTTAACAACAGCTACGTTGCCAAGAAAAGAAGAATTAAAGCAATAGCTACAGATCTATATTATTTATAAGGGACCCGAAATACCTTGCTTACATATCATTAGAAAATGCATTAACATAAATACGGCCGTAAGAAGAGGTAATACAAAAGTGTGTAAACTATAAAAACGAGTCAAAGTGGATTGTCCAACACTAGCACTTCCACGTAATAATTCTACAAAAGGCGATCCTATTACATATGGCTACCAAATGCACGTGTGAAATGTGAACACAAACGTTTGTATTTTCTTATAAACAGTATAAAATGTTCAAAAAAATCGTTAGTCTGTATTTGAAGTTTCCTATTTGTTTTAAATCACATTTTCTCTATTTTCTTAATATATCTATTTAAAATAAATAAATAAATTTGCCTATTAGAAAGAAAAACAAAAACTCCGTTTTAGACTTTTAGTGTAAAATTGCGATAGACTTTTTTTTTTCACAATACGTTGTGCTGATGAAGTCAAGATAATTTTGTAGCGCAACTTATATCCGTCGTAAGCCAAAGTAGATAATTTTCTCGTCCCAGTAGCATCCCAAGTTTGCAATATCCATCTATAAACTCATTCTTCAAGCTATAGTATGGAAAAAGGAGTCTCTTAATATGATGCTTTAGGTTCATACGATGTTAAAGATTCGCTTGGCCAACACACATATTCTGCCTCTCATCTCTACTTCCCATGAATTTCTTGTTGTACATTGTATCAGTTTAACTACTATTCATCTACAAAGAATAAAAGAATATGCGACTAATAATTTTAATCGCAAAATGATACGAAACGATAGTTTCAAACATTCCATCATAAGTTTTCGGCCGAATTTTGTCGAAACATAAAGTTGGTTAAAGTCGTGGTCGTGGAACACACATGGCTTCACCGCAGCGGGCACGTGGGGGGCAATGGCCCAATAACTGAAGGGACAAAACATAAATTAATTATTTTTGCAACCAAATTAAAAATAACTAGGAGAGAACCCGCGCAATGCGCGGGTTTATTAAACCAAATATTTTTAATTTAATTATTCAGAACATTAGATTCGAATATATCATTTGTTTTTTACTCGAATATATTAGATTCTGTAAGTTTTGCATTTTGTTTTTTTTCATATAGTTTTAAAATTTAGTTGTTATTTACGTGAAATCTTATATAGACTCATAGTGAATAGTTTCATATGTTTTTTGTTCTTTTATACAATAATTTATCGACTGGAGTTGAGTTCTTCTAATTTTCCTTATACTAACAATCATTATAGATTGATTATTATCCTACAGACTCATAGATAATAATAATTGCAATCCTTTTTAAAAGGAAATGAAATGAGCTAATTAGCCAGTAAGCCCATTTAAAGCTACCATGGAAACGAAGAGGTCCGATAAATAATCAAGCCCATCAAAACGAACAGCATTACACATAATTTTGATTTAGATTTTTTTTTTAATACGAAAACGACGTCGTTTTGGTGTAAGACGAAAAAAAAAAGATAAAGCGCAAAACGACGTCGTTTTGGTGTAAGACGAAAAAAAAAAAAAAAATAAAGCCCAAAACGACGTCGTTTTGGTGTTAGGCGAAAAAAAAAAAAAAAAAATGTGCCACGTGTCAAAGGCTGGAGATTGTCCAAGCCTTATTAGTTATGTAGATTCCACATAAAAAGTTTGTTTAAATATTTGTCCAAAATTCAAAGGTTTATTATAACTATTTAATTTAATAGAAGGACCAGATTAATATTTTCCTTTTAGGGTCCAGATAAATTTGGGCCGGCCTGCTACTGTAGTTTTCAAACATTCCAACAAAATTCAAGCCTGTCTTAGTATAGATGTCGACTCTGTCTCTTCTTCCATTTCCTTCATCACCAAAGACAAAAAGTATCGAAGAAAGTAATTTATAGGGTCATCTGGCTAGTCATAATATTTGGATTCTGAGAAGGAAAAAAAGGGGTTGGAATAGGACCAAGCAGCTTACAAAATAACTTTGAAAAATATATTAAAATGGGAAAGAGCTTCGTGTGTATGGGAACAAGTGTACAAGATAATACGCCTTTTAGGGTGAGATCCATATAATTCATCTAAGAAAAGTAAGGAAATTTGGTTTATTTGGCTTAGACTGCATATGTGAAGCTTTTAATTAAGGAAAGAGGATGAGTGTTCCCATGCATGATATGGGATCAGTTTGGAAAACTTGGACTGCATAAGAACTAGGTTCCAAGAGACCTAAAGAATGTAAGATACTCCAAAGCAAGGATTGTACAAGTTCTAAACGAGCTTGATGAAGTAGTTAACTAAGATAAGAAACAAAATAACTCATAGAGCTCTATAAGAGTGCATGTAAAAGTAAAAGAAGAAAGCTTAGATGAAGAGCACCAATATCAAATTATCTTCGGAGGGCATGGACTCGTGGCGTCACACCTCCGTGAGATTTCTGGCTGATAAGACCTCCACGTGTATTGCGATTATTCGTCTTTTCGTGAAAGGAAGATCTTCCCCAAAAAAGAATCTAAAGGAATATTTCTACACGGGCAAGGAACTCTAGGAGTTATACTACTGTTAACCCCCTATTACAATAAAACAAGGCGCTCTTAAAAGATAAAGTTCTGTTGAAAAAGTAAAATCAAAGATAAAGTTCTAAATTAGAGACTTGGGCTTGAAGCTAACTAAGGCTATGTATGACTTGGTCGCCGAGAATTAAGGACCCCACAGTTTGATATAAAAGTAATACAAAACCGAAACTTCTCGCAAAGGTGATGAAACCTCAACGCAATATCATCGTCACGTTAATAGATTAATCAATATAAAGAATGTAAAGCAGTCAAGACTTTAAACAAAACAAAAAAGAGCCCATATTTATTTTATTTTTTTAAATTCCGTAAAGAGAAGAACACAACATCAATTACGTGCGGTAATTTACAGTACAAGTTGGCAAATAAATATATTGTAAATGTTTAGAATAAAGAACCGAAATCTAATTGAAAATGATTCCACGTAACGAAAAAGACCAAGAGCTCCACGAACTAAATTAAAGCTAAAGGGATACAATAATAGTGATAAAGTGGTAGTTAATCTCAAGAAATGACTAATAATACAATTTATTTCATTCACATTTGATTGAATGTATATATCATATTTCATATATGTCGACTGCCGAATCTAGAAAACTACTATTGTCCAACTAAAGTGATTATATTATGAGAAAACGATAGTAATATCCACATCCCTGATCACCAACCATTCAATTTGTTAATACTTTATACACTTTAACCAGAGACTAATCCTTTTATCTATAGGCCATTTAAATAAATAATTCAACATATAGAGTATTAGAGATCAAATAAGACACATTTACCGAAGGTTTTTAAAATATTTTGTCAAAAGAAAAAAAAAAGTAATGTAGTACTAGAAAAATCCAAGAGAGAGAGAGAGAGAAAAAAAGTAAACGCGTAGACAGATGGCGACAGGAGAAAGAGAGAGTGGAGAAGAAGAAAAGAATTAGACGATCAAAGAAATTAGACATCTTTCTCTCGACGTTTCACATTACAAACCCAAACCAAAAGAAAAAAAAATGATATTTTTTCATTCTCGATCTGAAAAGTGAAAGATCTCCTCAAAATCTAATATTTGCTTTTAGTCTTTAGAGATCGTTGGTGATTCTTGTTTCTCTTTTAGTCCACTTCTTGATTCTTGATATGGATGCGCATCAGCATCACCTTCACCAGCTTCAATACCTCAACAAGCATCAGCATCAGCACCATCTTCATCCCCAATCTCAGACGCCGGAGATAGCTTCTCCGTCGTCCACGGCTGCTGCGGTGGTGGCCGGGGATAGGTTTCCACAGTGGAGCATAGAAGAGACGAAGGAGTTGATAGCGATAAGGGGAGAGCTGGATCAGACTTTCATGGAGACAAAACGGAACAAGCTTCTCTGGGAAGTTATCTCTAGCAAGATGAGAGACAAAAGCTTTCTTCGTAGCCCTGAACAGTGCAAGTGCAAGTGGAAGAACCTCGTCACTCGTTTTAAGGTCCCAATTTATCCTCTCTCTCTCTTATTTTTTTTTTGATGGATGTTTAATTCTCTAGTGTGTGTGTGTCGTGCATGAAATGATTATCCTACAAAATAAATATGTACATTTTTATTCTTTTTGTAACTAAGAAATTCCGAATCTTATTTATAGTCTATAATCTTTTGTGGATAGAGACCATAAATTTAGTATCCTGCCTAGGTATTTAAACAAGGATCACTTAACTAGTTTAGTTTAGTTTATTTTAATGCATGTAGTTCTCTCATTGGTGATGTGTTTCTTGATGTTTCTAGGGGTGTGAGACAATGGAGGCAGAGACAGCTAGGCAACAATTCCCTTTTTATGACGATATGCAAATCATCTTTACCAATAGAATGCAGAGAATGCTATGGGCCGAATCCGAGGGAGGAGGAGTAGGAGGAGGAACAAGCGGAGCAACGAGAAAGAGAGGTCACTCGGAGCAGTTTTCATCAGATGAGGAAGAAGAGAATGTGAATGAAGAGCTAGTAGATATCAGCACTGACCAGAAAACCGTGAACCCGAAGAAGAACATTGCAAAGAAGCGAAAAGGCGGTAGTAATAGTAGTAGTGGGAACACTAGTGTAAGAGAGGTGTTGGATGAGTTTATGAGACATCAGACTAGAATGGAGAACGAATGGAGTGAAAGATGGGAGGCGAGGGAGAAGGAGAGAGCAGAGAAAGAAGAAGAGTGGAGGAGGAAGATGGAGGAGCTCGAGAAGGAGAGGGTGGCAATGGAGCGGATGTGGCGGGATAGGGAGGAGCAACGGCGGTCCAGGGAGGAGATGAGGGCGGAGAAGAGAGATTCACTAATCAATGCATTGCTTGCTAAGCTTACAAGAGATGGTTCTCTCTAATATTTATTATCAGCTTTTCTTAACGTAAGTTAACTTGTTTTTTTTCTATGCTTGTTTTAATTTGAGATGTAGGGTTTAGATAATTTGTGGGGGATAGTAGATCTATGGATAAACACAACACATAATATATTATTGATATGAGGACATAGTTGAGTTTTGGGACGTTGCTAATATAGTAACCCCACATTCTTTTGTTCCTGGTTATGATTTTGGTTAATCTATTGGTCCATGTTTTTGCATAACCTTGAGAATTATAATAGTTCTTCTAATCAGTAATATGGAGAACGTTAACTTATCGAGTATTTGTAAACTGGAACAAAAGTTTCTTTACATCAACACGGGCTCAATGATGAAAGCGGAGCCAACAGTGCAAAAATATTGGATTGGACGAAACAAACAGAAACATGTGGAACGAGTCTTGTTTCTGCACCCGGTAAACTCTTTTCTTTATTACACTGAAAAAAAATTTATGTCTTAACAAATTTTTAAGGATTTATATATTGTCTTTTCATGAGATTTTCAATTGTGAATTGGATATTTTTCAGTGTTTTGTGAGTCGTTTAATGTATGAAAAATGAAAAATGAAATATATTTTGGAATTTTGCGGAAAATAGGACAGAAGAAGTGGCAGACATGGTTACTTTCTTCCACGTCTAGATCAAAAATTTCAAAACATCGTTTTTCTCCTTTTGTATTCGATATTCAACATGGTATTAACTTCACCGCAATTATATCTTCATGGCCCATACATAAGAATATATAAAATTCTAAACATTTCGAGGCTGTAAGAAAACAAAATGAAGATTTACGCGTTTAGCTTTGTGTATTGGAATCATGGATCGTCTCGTTGAAAGGGACAATAAAACATACTGTCGCCGACATTGACCTTTTGTTGGCAAAGCAAAAGCCACAACTTGTCTCGTCCACACTCTAAAATTGAAAAATCCCACTTCTCTTATCTCCATTTCCCATTGTGTTCATACCCTTTGCTTGTAGTTAAAATAAAATAAATAAGGGCAATTCTCAAATCAAATAAATAATCATTATGATGTTTTAGTACTGTATTTTATATGCAAATTTTAATATTTTTAACTCTTTACTAGAGAAATTTTTATTTTAAGATTGTTTTAAAAATTATTAAATGATATGATCAATCATGCCTTTTATCTAAAAAACATCTTATATTTTAGAATGAAGACAATGCCTCATTCATTCTTTCATTACTACTTAGTGTCGTTTTAGCACATTTTTACACATAATTAAAAAGATATGTAATGTAATTTATGGTATACCTTTATTAGCAAGTTCTATTAAGAAAGTCTCCCGTTTAGTGAAACCTACATGTGCTAAATTACATGGCATTGGTAAAAGTAAAACTCTGTAAACTTTATAAAAACAGAGCCAATAGAGCACAAGTTTTTGAAACTATGGAAGAGAATCCAAGCCAATTACAAATGTTTTTTCTTAAAAACTAATTCAACATATTGCCAAGTTCGCCATTCTCATACATTGAGGTCAATATATCACAACCTCCCAAGAGTTCTCCATTCACAAACACCTGCGGAAACGTTGGCCAATTGCTGTAACTCTTCAGCTTCTCCCTAAGCCCTGGATTAAACTCATCGTCAAGCACATCTACAGTTTCGTAATCCACTCCTTGGCTCTCAAGAATCCCAACCACTCTCTGCGAGAATCCACACTGAGGAGCACTTCTCGACCCTTTTATGAAAGCTACCACTTTGCTCTCTTTCACTAACCGGTCAACCAGTTCCTCTAAAGGAACCGTGAGCTCCACGTGGCGACCTGGAGTGAGACGGATATCGGATTTCTTCCTCGGAGCCTGTTTCACAAATGTGTTGTTCCCTGACTTGTTCCCCGGCGGGACTTTTCCGGTCACTTTTATGTGCTCCTCTATCCATGACTTCCATGCTTGCGTTAGAACCGCTTTTTCCGGTTCTTCTACTATACCAACCTATCAACCCAATCATGAAAACATTCAACACAAAATTGTCAGTTACAAAAGAGTATCAACAACAAAAAAAACTTCACAAAATGAAGAAACATCGAGATGAATTCTAAATCCTAAACCCTAAACATCTGATGCATCACCTAAATTGACTAAATTTCAAATCTTGCATGTGTACTTGAAGAGCTCTTAGCTCAAATTCCACAAACACAGAGGCGATCCTTAGATTCCTAATACATTAACATGAACACTATTTTGGAACTAAAGAGATGTAATTTCTCAATTGATATGGTAAATGCGATTGTAACAACATTCACTTTTCGAATTCACCAATGAACAGTGAACAATATTTTACGGGAAAAAAAAGTCAACCACGAATCGGTGATTTACAGAAACTTCTGGTTGATTCCATTTTCGTCAGCATTCCATAGAGCTTTCGGATTCATCAATACCACGATTAGTATTACGAAATTCTGAATCGAGACGACGGAGGTAAGGTGATGAGCTTTTACCTTGACGGAGGCGCAAAGCTCCGGAACCGATTTGAGATGTGCGGAGACACTCGCGGCGATGTTCCGCGAAATTCCGACGAATTGAAGCTCCTCGCTCTTATCGTAGACAGCGTAGACGCCGGAAGCGGCCGGGATTGATTCAGCTTCCGCAATCGGAATCAGCTCAGTCTCTCCCAGAGTTTTGTTGGCGGCGGAGGCAATTAAGAAGGGACGACGAGATCGGATTGTGTCACGGAGTGTGAGGGAGAGAGAGGGAAAGGAGAAGGATGGTGTGAAGCGTGAATAGAGAGTAAGCCCCGGGGTATTTCGGGAAACATGTGGACGAAATGCACGGGGAGAGGCTGAGGCGTGCAAAGAGGAGAAGCTGATTGCAGCCATTTTCGTCGGAGCTGCGAGTTATCAGTTGAAACGAGAGATAGATATGAATGTTACTCACTTAACTGTATTTGGGCCTTATATGGGCCCATAAAATCAGTCGGGCTTTAATTAACAATTGTTTTCGTCTTAATTTTTCTGATGGTTAAGGCAACAATAAATGAATTTTGAGTAGTGTTCCTCAAATTTGATGTAATCTTATTCATAACCTCAATTTTTTCTCTCCACAAAATGCTGTACCATGAAGCATTTTCCTCTTTTTTTGTTTTCTTCTGCTTTCCTCAAAATAAGAGATCTGATTGATGATCTGACTCAAAACTCAACAAGATTTAATGATAGAACTTTTATGGTCTCTCATTATATAAAACAAAAAACAAAAGATGGTTCTCAATATCGTTTGCAGCTCCTTAAGATTAAAGTCAGATCTGGAACAATAGGATTTCGACAGCCAAATCACCTTCTCAGGAGGAACAACAAAGCCACTCATGATATTATTATCCTATCTAGTTTCTGCTTCGGTATACTTTCTGAAGAAGCTAACGTTGCAAGAGCAGTGGTATAGATGATTGGGCCGTACATCATGTTGTATTCTTACACATTGCCATTTTCTGATTGCTGTAATTATGGAACAACTTCGTCTGAGATTTTAGCATTGCCTAGATAAACTTGTTGCATCTCCTCTTTCCAGATCTGCATCAAAACTCCATAATTTTAATTTGTTCTCTATAATTAACAGGAATTCAAGCTGTGTAAGTAATGAATGTATAAAATGTTTCATCCCCCTACCGTGTCACGGAACTCCACCCTTATGTGAGGCACATTTGTTTTGTGAATGTCGTTTCCGTCGGGTCCTCTCTTGTAGTAGTCTTTTCCAATCCAGTGTGACTGTAAACATTTCAAAGAGTTGAGTATTATCAGCAGATCAGAACTGAGCAAGACTGTTTCATCATCCCAAAGAGCTTGGCATCTTGTTAATTTAGACTTTAGTGTATATGATATGTTTGATATAGCAAGTACCTTCAGGGCATGTGAGAAACCTGACTGGTACACTGAGTTACGAGCTATCTCGCACAGGTCACACGAACTCAGCTTCCAAACCTGAAAATCCATTTATTTATCTTTAGTCAATAATACATCACTAAAGATGAACAGGTGAACTTATCAGAGTGAAGTTTCACTGTTCCTTCGTATTTGCAATCGTAAGAGATCCATATAAATAACCATCGTAAGGTAATAAGACTAATCTAAAGACGACTAATTTTCGTGGTCTATGATGTGTGACATGAGTGCATAGAGGACTTACGGAGGCAGCTATGCTATACTCTTCCACGAGAGGTTCTTTTGTTAAATGAATCTGAAGGGGATCATCCGTAGACAGAGAAACATTGAGACCTCTTAAGAAAAACACCGGGAAAGGGTTTCTGTGGTAATCTAGAAACAAAGAGTTGTTGCTCAGTGGAGACATGGCCAGACCAATCTGTCAAAAGAAAATGGAATCAATGTCCAGTCAGATATTCTTAGAACAGACACGATAATACATATGTAATGCAAGCAGGCAGTCTCCGCAAACCTGGGCGAGGTAGTAGAGATACTGAAGCACAGGAGATTTTCGCAGATTGATTCCATGTGCAATGCTATGGCATGTGAGAAATGTAGCAGCCAAGTGGTCAATGTCACCAGCCTGAAATTTGTTTGTAGACACCTTAAACATCCATTGAACTGATAGTGAAAATTGTTATATAGCACCAAGGAAGATATATGATACCTCCCCAGAATGTGGTCGTAGTGTGATGGTAGTCATGCCCTTTGACTCCCGAAGCTGAAGAAAAATAGTTACTTCATATTACACAGTTTTGACAAACAAACACCAAGTTAGTTGCAGATGAGATCAGGAGGAATTTTACCTTATTTAGCACATACATGTTAGCATAACAATAGTAGACATAGTACGAAAACGCAGGATTAAATGCGTTAGTCCACTGAGCTGGAGTGGGCATGTGTTTTGTGGGACGTCTTTCAGGTTTGCTTTCATCATCGACCAAATCAAACCCAACAACCTGAAATACAAAACAAGAAACGAGCAGTAAAATCAACGACGCAATCGAACAAACAAGACACAGCAACAAGTTAAGCCAACTTTTGTTAATAGTTCAAAGACTTAGATGCTAACCTGCTTCAAAAAAACGTGGAGCTGGGGATGCGAATCGGGATCTACTGTGGCTTCAAACAGAGGAATGAATATATTGTCAAGGATATTCTGGAACGATGTCACAATACCCATGTCCTTGTAAATGTTGTACAGGCGTGGAAGCTAGTGAGCAGTCAGACATAAAACGAGGGAAGTGCAGGTCAGTTAGCATTTCATGTGACAAACACACATACAGTACTGGAATGGATATAGAGCACAAAGGCATCAAAAAGATAAGCCAAAAAGATAACACCAACCTGAATTAACCACACAACATTCTCACTGTATAGATCATTGTTCACAATCCAACTAGCCAGTTGGTCCCACTCGCTCATTTTTCTGCCGTAAATAGATATTCTGTATTCAGCCATCTGCAGTGTTCAAAGTAGACATCGGGAAAAATAACACAGGTCAATTATGAATCTGCTTTGGCAAGAAGATTCCTTAAACACAAAATTTGAGTTTTACCTGATATTTGCTAGCTTCAAGGTCCGAGAAAACTTGTTTGGTTATCTCACCAAGAAAACGACCTGAAACCAAAAACAATATAAACGTCAAAAGAATAACTTGGAATCACAAAATGTATCAACTGAACTAAAAAGGGTGGTGAGAGTGACAAAGATATCTAATTACCTTGGATGAGATTATCCTGTTTAAGGAAAATTTCCCTAAGCCTACTTTGACCACAGGGATTATACTTAAGGTTGAACTTATCAAAGCGATGAAAGGTACTCTTGTCAGCATGAACATCCAAAAGGTCGACGTTCAGGTCATATCTGCAAAGTTCAGATAATCAGCATAAAATCCAGGTGGCTCCTAAGCGAGTAATTTAACAGTCTTGCAGTTAAATAAACTGAAGTTGGTAACTCTAAGAAATTGAAAATGTAAATTACCCAGTCAGATCCAGGCTCTCAAAAACTTCTTTCAATGTCAAATATGTTCCATCCCGGAATATGACGACCTGTATAAAGCAAAAAGTTATCATACCTACAAACAGCAAATTGTATACTCTCCTAAAACATATGGTTCCATTTGTTACCTCATCAGGTTCTTTCCGGAGCTTTGACTTGATAAACCTTAAAAGGTGTTTCTGGTTCATGCAAGCTGAGTGATGAACATGAGTGTCGACTTTCCTAACGTTATAAAAATCACGATGTGGTGCACTTTTTTGGGCAAGAAACTCTTTATCCGCATTAAGCATCAAATGGAGATTAAATTTCTGAAACACAAAAAACCATAATGTTAACCATACAAGCTTTGCTTATTGTAATCAATTCTTCTCTAACTAAAATCTTGCCTGTTCTAGGAGCACTAGGCGACGGTGGCACAATGTCCGGATGTTTCCTGCAGCTATAACTTTGAGTACATGATGCAAGTCAGTGAAAAACGTTGTGGCATCAGCTACCGGGAAGAGGTCTTCTTTCACTGGGAATCCAAAACAAAACAAGAGTCATTTTATTAGTAAAGCGAAGGAATGTAAACCAAATCAACTTTTTATGGGTACAGGACAAAAGAAAGCAGTAGAATTCTAATACTCATGCTCTTACCATCTTTATTTGGAAACACATGGACTACCCCATCTTGCATCTCAAAATGATGCTGTAGAGACAAAATTAGGGAAATTAATTTCATCAACGCATGGTGTTCGCTGAAAAAAAAAAATAAGGAGAAGAAGCTCACCTCAGATTTTCCCTGAGGATAGTGTGCAAAGGGCTCTAAATTAGGCTTTGGGGTACTAGGATCAGATATAACTTCTTTTTCCCATGGCGCAACTGTTTCTTGGAAGACATATCTCTTCCTCAATTCCAGACATTCTTGCAGACATTTATACGCTTCAACTTCATCGGACGTTGGCACCTCTGTACAGATCATGAGTAAAAATATTAATACGAAATGGGTTGAACTCCAACTGTTTCAAGCTAAAATTCTTAAACCATAGTTCATAGATTTCAAAGGCTAAGCTCCCACATAGAGTAAAGCTACAACTAACCCTTGCCTATCTCACTCAAGACTATACATATTGCATTATCTGTAGTGCCACTTAATTCCTTGCCACTAGCAAAAATTTCAAACTAGTGGAGCTTTCAAAGTAATCACTCTTACCAAGAGGAACATTAAGACGGACGAAGGTTTCTTGCTCCGGCTCTTTACGCAGAATGTCAGCGGCAATAGGATCAGGCTGAACTCCATGTAAGTCACCAGAAACACTGTGAGATCGAATCATGCTCGAAGCAGCCATAGATATTTGCTCTTCAGTGGCATCTGCAGGCTGCAAAAGACATGTCTTACTTGTAAGTCAACCTAGTAATTGCCTTCTGCTTACTCGTTCAATCACAAAACAAGGATTCCAATCAAATGTTGATTTAAGAAACTCACCAAGTCACCGTCCCCATTGGCTTGCAAGTAGGAAGCATCCAGGCCCGCACTATCTGTCATGTTATCATCATCATCTGATTCCTCCACACTCTCAAAGGCACTAGCACTAGCAACTGGAGATTTCGGAGAAATTGGTCTGACAAAGCTTCCAGTTTTCCTGATACTAGTCCCAAGTACAGAAGATGATCTCCCTGAAAAAATCAAGAGCTATCAATCAGTATTGTGTACATGTTGAGAATTCATTTGCAGCAATAAACCTTTGACAAAATCTGATTTCAAATCCTTTGCTCAACTAATATCCGAAATCCAATCTGATCAATTCGGGATTGTTAATCAAAAATCAGGAAGTTCCGATTTACCTTCAGCTGGCGTATGAAGCCTGGGCAAACCAGGAGGGATTTCATCGACATAAACGTGACCGTTGTTGCGCCCTGCATCACTTCCACCGCCGCCGCCGCCAGCATCGGCTGCTCCGGTAAAGGGCGTAGCATCTGGAAGCGAAGCGGGGCTGCGACCGTAGTGGTCGATTCCTTTCCGTCGAACTTGGCTCCGCCGCCTGGTCCGATGCTGCGGCGAGTCTCCTCCTTCGGTGCTGTCTTTCTTCTCCCTGCCACGCTCGAGGACTAGATTGAGTGCCTTGAAATGCATGAAAAACCCCGAGACAGCGACGAAGGAAGCTCCAAAGAGAGCCGCAAGGGCAAGTTGGTAAATATTGGGCTCCATTTTCGTGTGTGTGCAGAGGTCAGAGTCAGTGAGGAGGCACGATTGATTTGGTTTTAGTGGCGATGGTGGAAAAAAGGTTTTTGCGTTTGATATATTTATAGGCCCATCGAGTGAAACCACGCCACTTGCAGGCTTTTGCTCTTCAAAACCTTTTATGCTACCAAATAAAATAAAGGGAAGTGGACAATTATTTCAAACACAACTTTTTATTTTTTAATGTTTGCTTGTATACGTGAAATTCTTGTTCTTCGTGTTATTTACAGTTTGAAACAAATTTATCAGACAGTATTATTAGTTATAAGAAAACATGGGTTTACAGTGATTAGAGAGAATTCATGATAAGTTTTATAGTTTCGCTAAACATTTACAAATACTTATTACTCCTTTCCTTTCACAATCACAAAAAGTGTCATTTTATTTTAAGGTTTTATTCTTATTTCACAAAGAGTGTCATTTTGTGTTTCCAATGCAATTTTATTAACTAAAAACCATTTTTAACCTTGTTGTATTAATGTATTAATTAGAAAAAGAATATAGTATTAGTGTAATTAAAATGGGTAAAATAAAATTTTAGAGTGGTTTTTTTAATATATGTGTAAAAATGTAGAATGACACTTATTATGAAACGGAGAGAGTTAGTTATAAACAAGTAGAGTACGAATGATTGGCATTGAATTATTTTTGTTATTTCTACAAGCATTCATGGTTTAGTTATATACTTTTCTTTTTGGTCTTTAATTAGGAAGCAACCAATTTTGAAAATATTCAGAAACTGTGTTGTGCACAAGAATTGCCGGATTATGAAAGCGAGCGTCGTTGCATTGTTCATGGTGACTCTGTTTTTAGACTAGGCTTTTGACACATTTATGTGATTAATATGTATCTCATGGTATTTGCCTTATGGATTCAGGATTCTTTTAGCTTTTGCTTTTGCTTTTGTGTTAATAGCATTCTAAACAACAACTTCATTCAAGTATTAAACTTAAGATTTACAGTGACAATATACATATAAACTTCTTGTAAGATGATATATTCAACCACAATCACAAACTCAAATATCTATACAACCATATAATTAAGATTACATCATCTCTCTACAGAATGGACATTCATTTGATCCCCACCTATTGATGCATTATAGATGGAATGCATGTCCACCTTCTGTGTTGGCCAATGGTTGTTGATTGCAAAAGTCTTCAAGGCAGATGAAGTATTCTTCTTCCCCATGCCTGAACTGATAGTCTTCAAATGCAACAGCTGAAAGCACTCTCCGATCAGCCATCTCTACAACATCGTGATAGTATGGCAATAACTTATCACCTTCTTGATGATGTACCAAAGCAGAGCACATAATCCTATCCCTGTCCCTAGAGCAAAGATGACATAACCAATCATCCACATTGGTTTGTTGTCATCCCGAAATGCTGTTTCACCATAGTTAGGCATCTTCCTATATGTGGGAGAAGAATATAAGAGAGGTAAAGAGAAGGAAAAGAATAATTGGATAAGAAAGAAAGATAAGATATGATCAAGAGTGTTACCTTTTGATTTTGAGAGCGAGGGAGTAACAAGATGGAAGGTTGAGCTTTGGAGAACAGAGACTAGATCATGGAAGTTGAAGATGTGAAGAACAGAGGACTATCTTCATATTAACTCATCAAATTAAAGTAAACAATTAGAATGGGTAAAAGTGGTAGGGGCGTTTTGTCTACATCTCTAGTTCATCAGCTTTCACAACTCTGTTTTGCTTGTTCTGCTCTTTCTTGGCCAATGGTTGATTGCTAAAGTCTTCAAGGCATATGAAGCATTCTTCTTCCCCATGACTGAATTGATAGTCTTCAATTGCAACAGTCGAATATGGAGTTGAAACTGTCTAATCAAAAATTGCATTAATTTAAAATGTATTAATTTTTATATATTGTGAATATGCAATAGGGAATGCTAAATTATACTAACTCCTAACACTTTTTACAATTTTTTGCTAAATTAATGCTAAATAAATGATCAAATATTGCATTCACATTGCTTAAATTTTGCTCAAATATTGCATTAACATTGCTTAAATTTTGCTCAGCCACTATTGTTAAAACTTAAAAGCATATAAGAATAAAGAACGAGTGCTAATGTAAATTCATTTTTTTATTGAGAAAATTTACTTACATTTCTCCATCGATAATTTATCTCTATATACTAATTTGAGTCAACGACTAATAAATATATTGCAAGCCATGTCACTTCCTCTTTTTTTGAAAATACAAAAATTTAGTTGTTATACTAAAAATATTAATGTGATAATTTAGTCTTAAACTAAAAAAAATATTAATGCCTAAAACATTCTAGTGAAGGGCTAATTATTTATATTTTTCTAGTAAAATCCCGTCACCTCTTATAAACTTATCAAAAGTATCAAAAATTATAGTTGTTAAACTAAAAATATTAAGCTCTAGTATTCTTCTAGACAAAGTGATAATTAAAAAAAAAAAAAAAAAAAAAAACTAAATAGGTTTGTCTTATGTTATGCGTGGAACTGAAATCTTTTAAGGTATCAAATATGTCAGAGAAATGTCATTTGGTTTAAGCTTGCTTAAACAGAACCACACAAATCAAATTGAACCATCATTCAATTTTCAACATAATCATAAATGGTTGTTAACTGCAAATACATTAAGAGAGAGAAAAAATGAATTTTGAAGTCTCACCTATACAATCACTCATCTAAGTCAAGGAAGCCAAAATGCAAAAAGTTTAAAAACGAAAGCACACCGAGAAGAAAAACAATTAAATCACAAAACAATGGTGACACCTCTAGCACCATGAACATAAGAAGGATGAGCAGCCTCTTGATCTCTCTCAAACTGTTCCACATGCCTTGTGGCATCGAACTTCTCTCCATCTCCCCAAAGAGCATAAGCTTCTTCTCCATGAGCCGCATCGTCTCCAATCCCAAGCTCTTCTTCAGCCATTCTCAGCGGTATGAACACCTTAATAGCAAGGAGTATGAGAGTCGTCGACACCACATTCCAGACAGCAATGAAGGCAGCTCCGACCAACTGTTTCAGAAGCTGTTGGCCGCCTTTGCCGCCGTAGAAAGCTCCTCTGGTTGGAACAGGAAGTGCCAACTCGCAGAGATCAGGATGTGCGAATAAACCTGTCATTATTCCACCCAGTAATCCAGCTACTGCGTGCGTGTAGAATACCGCTAATGTATCATCAACCTGTTAATTTAATCCAATATTCAAAAATATCACATTTCAGAAAAGTTCTTGTTATTGTTGTCGATAATACATTAATTCTAAATATTGATTAATTCCTTATAAGAGCATATATTTACATATTTCAAATTCATACTATAATCAACTTCAAGTTATAACCCTGATATGGTCCGTCCACTCTATTATCTAATGAATCATATCTATTGAAAGAGAAGAATGGAGTAAAACAAAGATTTGATAATACTTTCATATCATGTTTTTAACTATTCAAAGTTTTGAAACATGTATATGTTTTTTTGGTGTAATCAATTAATTTTTGCAAAAGAAGATTCATGCCGTTAAATGATTCATAGATAAAACAAAAATATGTTCATAACATTTTTGACAAAAAAAAATTAAAATCTGGACATTATAGGATCAAAGACAATGGTAAAAGACAATTTACCTTTTGGAGCAGAGCAGATTTCTTGTGAATGATCATCATAGAGGCCCATGGAATTGATCCTGAGAATATTCCAATTATAATAGCTGCCCATGTTTGGATTAACCCTGCAATATATTTTTGTTTGTCAGTATACAACAAAATAAATCAACCATGCAATGTTAAACCAAAACAACCAACCATGAGCAATGCTACAAAAAGTTCCAATATTTCTATCTAAACGAATAAAGATTACAAGATTGATACCTGCTCCGGGAGTAACGCCAGCAAGACCAGTGACCATGCCTTGAATGGCTCCGATGACAGAAGGTTTGCCAAAGAAAATGACATCGAGCGTGGTCCACACGAGAAGGCTCGTGGCGGCGGAGAGGTTGGTGTTGAGCACCGCGATTGAGGAGGTTAAGTTGGCGGCGTAAGGAGCTCCGCCGTTAAAACCGGACCATCCCATCCAAAGAAGCCCAGCTCCGGCGAGCATCAAAAGAACATTGTTCGGTGGGAATCTTTCTCTGTCAGCCTGTGGCCTTGGTCCCACCTACAGCATGTCGACAAATCGTATTTAATTCCCAAATAATCGAAAATCGATTTCAACATAGTACGACTCTTTCCTCAACTAGCTGTTTACTTTTTAACCAACCATTTTGTTTTTCATTTTCTTTTGCATAATTTTATTATGTGGACTCTTATGTCGTCGTCACGTGGAAGTGGAATTGACTTGACTTCTACCATTTCAAACGAAATCAATCATAAATTTCATACAATATCACTCGACGCGTCATCATTCATTATCTCTTTCAAATTTCAGGTATTTGCAACCAAATTCAATTGCTTTATGAAAACTTTGGCAAAAATAAATATTTTCAGTTGAGTGAGATCAGAATTTTATATTTATAGAGCGTTTCTCTTTCATTAAATATCGTATTCGTTACATAAAATAGTTGGACACATATGGTTATTCAGAAATGATTAGTTGATTACCCTTCTCCAATTAAATTATCAGAACTGCTTAATATCCCGCTGTCAAATCCTAAAATATGATTTTATATAATTTTTATGACTTACAAATTAATTAGTTTTTGTCAGTGACCGATCTATAAACAACTACGGACCTTGAAACTTAAATACGTAATCATTTCGAGAGAGAAAGTAAAACAAAACTTCGCAAACGAGGACCAGTCTACATCGAAATATGCTTAATTAAATTTCCGAGTCTATGATCATGTCATCTATCGTACATAAATTAAATCCAATATTTTCAACAAAAACATAAATATATTAAAAATAATTCTTCAATGTTTATCATTACTCTTTCTAGTGATAGATTAATTTGAAATGATTCGCCTAACATAATACACTAACCCCAAATGAATGGACCTAAATTTGATAAAAGAAAATTTACAGCTACAAATATCTGAATTTGTTTTGGGGAGAGGAAAAAAGAACTAAAAAATTTCAGATTAATGTAATTGGCGGAAAAAGAAAAAGAAATTGGGGAGATATTATTATTAATTAAAAAACGTACCCAGTAAGCGGCGACGAATCCGGCAACACCGGAGGAGAGATGAATCACATATCCGCCGGAATAATCAATAACTCCCCAATGATAAAGAAAACCACCGCCCCAAATACTATAAGCTCCGACCGTGTAGCTAAAGATCAGCCACAACGGCACAAAAGCCATCCACGCTTTAATATTCATCCTCCCCAGAACCGATCCCGCCACCAATATCGTCGTTATCGCCGCAAACGTAAACTGAAAATACACCAAAGTCGCCATCGGAAACAACGGCTCCACCGCCGCCTTCTTCAACGTCCCGTCTCCATTCCACATAACGCTTTCCGGAATCTGTGTTCAAAAAACAAAAACGAATCTTGTTCAGTCATTTCATCGAACACTCTGTGGGCATTAAACCGAATTTCAAAGTCGAGACCTTTGCTTGGCTCTTGAGGTATCCTTGATCGAAGGCAGGACCGCCTTTGCCCCAGAAGGGCAAAAGCTCATCTCCGAAAGCCATTTTGTAACAGAGGAGGACCCAACAGAGGAGAACGGCGGCGAAGGCGTAAAGAGCCATGAAAGCGGAATTCACAGCCCATTTCTTCTTGACGATGGAGGCGTAGAGGATGACGAGACCCGGCATGCTCTGTAGACCGACCAGCGTCGCCGCCGTGAGCTGCCATCCGTTGTCTCCTTTGTTGAGCCATTCGGGAACCCCCGGCAAGCTCGAATTGTAAGCTCTGGACATTTCTCTCTCTCTTTCCCGGAGTTGATGATTCTGATTTATGATTGATGACTTTTAAATGGTTATAGTCAATGGTAAAGAGCGTGAGATTGTAGGTGTGAAAACTTTTTAATTATAATAATGTGTGTGGAAACTAGACAAGTCACAAGTGGGGTTTGGTGTTTTTGTTGTACAATTTTTTGGAGAAGAAAAGTCTTCGATGGTCGATGGATGTGTTTCTCATTCTTTCAAATTTAGAATCTTGATATTTCAAAGAAGCTTCTTAATTGCTTTGTCCACTTACACATTTTCCCGCGTAATAAATTGTAAATTGTTAGGAAAAAAGAAAAAGAAAACAAGATAATTGAAATTGACGAAGAAAGAAAGAAGATAACAGAAATCTCTGGTATACAAAAAAAACAAATCGGGAAAATTGATGTGGACCTTGCTGTTTTATCTATAGTCATGGGCAGTTTAAGATTCTGATATATCTAGTATTTACTAGAAATATTGTTTTTTTTCTCCTAAGACCTATATATGAAAGAAATGGGTGTATATAAAATTAAAATAACATGGAGGTGCATGATATAATAACTTGTAAAGCTTTTTTGTGCAAAAATTTGTAAAGTTTTTCTTTGTTATGATTAGTTTATATGGAAGTCCATTATCGGCCCATATTCTAGAATGTTCTCCAAGTTGTACCTCATCTCCAAGGAAACATTTCTCTTGTACTCATATATAAAGGACTCATTATTCATGAATAAGATACAATCAATTCCTCTTCTCTTGTTCTCTCTTCTTCTATAACACGTTATCAGCACGAGTCTCTAACCATTAGCTTAAAACCCTAGCCGTCTAAGCTAAGAGGTAAGAGGAAATCAAATTTCCTTATTTCCAAAGATTAAACAAGATATAATGAATAATTGATATTATTTTGTTGATCTGTGTTTATCATCTTAATCCCAGAAGGATTTGTAATTCGGAAGAATTACAATTACAAAATTATTTATCCCAGAAGAATTTATAAAGAATTTGTATTGATTATTATTTCAGTTGCATATATATTGTTCTTATTTATTTTTACTTGCTTCTCATATGATATTTGTTATTTTAATTGATTTTCGTAGATTAGTTGCTTTAGCTTATTAAGTTGAATTTGCTATTGCAGTTTATGGTTTCATCGTTTAATGAAAACATTGTTTATTGCTTTGAGCTATCGATTTGTGTTCGTAACTGAATCATGCATATGCATACGTTTGAATATTATTAATCATCATATATTGATCTATTTTATTGTTGATCATATTATTTAATATTGATATATTGAGATTCTTTAATATTGATCTGTTTATAAAATAATAAAGCATCAATATATCGATCTATGCTTCTTTGATTATTGCAACCCTTAATTCAATTTGTTTGTATAACTTTAAATCATGTTTCTTTGATTTAATTAACTTTATTTCTTTCACTTAGAAATCATTCGTTAGTTCCTAATCGAATTATTCTCATATACTATTGTTTATTCACTGGTTATGATGGTACTCATTAATTAATTAGAAATAGTCTATAATCGAATATTGAAGCATGTCGTGATAATAATCGATATTTCCTGCTGGTATTAACATTATATTGATAAATACGTGATTTGATTTGTGTCTTGTTGCTCCCAATGAATTTGAAATTTCTTCGTTAATAAAGACCACCATATTTAAGGATTGACTTATTATTTTCTGGCTTATATTGCTTATTGATTTATTGCTTGGTTTGGTTTCAACTTAACTAGTTTAGACAACTGTTGTTTTGTGTACACAATGTCCATCAATTTGATTAAGTTTGTAACTCATCTTAAGCCAAACAATTTATTATCTAGGTTGAGAATCTTTATTTTGCTGATTGATTCAATTTGTTTGGTTAAAATTTTGCTGCTGCAGTATGTTATAAGTCGTGGAGTTCACTATACAAGTAATCGTTTTTAGATTGCCGACCTAAAAGAAGAATGATCTAGTATATTTATATATGTCATAGCAACTTTCTTATATGACTTTAGTTACACATTCGCTTGATACATTATAATCATGGAGTTAATTGTTAATTCGTTGATGCATTATACTCTTTTCGTTATATTTTAACAATGAGTCAATTGTTGGTTTAATTGTTATATCAATGATATTCACTGTGAGTTTATGATGTTGATACTAATGGCTATAAAAGATCCACAAATTCTTTTAAGTAGTTTAAAGAAAAAAAATTATCACCAGAAGTGATATGATCTGAAACATTAATCTAAAGAAAAAGATTTATCTAAAGAAAAAGATTTATCACCAGAAGTGATATATCACCGAAGTGACCTAATAGAGTAATCTAAAGAAAATTATAGTATTAAGATCATATAAACTTGAAGTTTATAAGTGGAAATAATACTACTAATACAAATGTGTTAAAAGAAATCAAGAAAACATTGTTGTCCTAGACACAATAATATAAATACTGAGTATTTTATAAAATATTGTTGTCCAGTAGACACAATAGCAAAGAAATTCTTAATGATTTTTAATCTATTATTTTCTTTTAAAATTAAATTTTCACCTGAAGTGATAATAAAATAGTACATGTTACTAATATTAATTGTTATTATCATGTTTTACTTATATATTTATGTAGCTTGATAATATTTATTTATTTTATATTTTATATATTTAGTATTTGCATCAAAAACCACATGACCTGAAGTCTATAAGTGGAGATAATAAATATTATGAAGATGTTAAAATACATCAAGAAAATTTTGTTGTCTTGCAGACACAAAAAACATTATCACCTGAAGTGATAATATAATTTGAGAATTCATTCAAATTATATCTTATCTTTCTAATTTTATTTTAAACTAAATTTGTCACCAGAAGTGATAATAAATGGTATATATTATTAATATTTATTTTGATTATGCTCTATTTATTTATATATACTTATTTTTATTTTTATTTTATTATTCTCTATATGATATCTTAAATTTTCATGAAAGATTACAAGACCTGAAGTCTGTAAATAACTTTTAACTATATAGAAGATAATGTAGATCAATAGAGATGCTAAAAAGCATACTCTAAATAATATTGTCATATTGTCTGTAGACAAAATAATTTAGACATTATTTTGAGAAAATATTGAATTATTGATGAAAATCATATCCAATTGGTTATGATCAATTCCCTGAAGTGAATGTGATATACAAGTAAATGGTTAAAGAGGTTATTGATTTTATATTGGAATTCAATTCGAGATAGATGAACCTGAAGTATCATCATCTCGAGGGGGAGAATGGATGAATCCCACAATCAATAATAAATGGAACATCTAGAAGATTATGTTCACACTCAAAAATAAACTTGATCATTGATCAAGAAAAGTGTAAGAATCCCAAACTCATAATCCAGAAGATTATACTCAAAAATGAGTAATCTTGATGAATCATATATAAAGTAATTCAAGGAATTTCAATATACAATAAATGAGGAAAAGTTAAATAGATGTCATATAGTAAACCAGAAGTTTGCTGAATCTAACATAATTGGCATGAACTGGTTAGACCATTCCAGTTTAAGAATTATGCGAAGTAAAATACAACATGTAAACATTTATTGAAGAACTAGAAGATTCTTCTTAATGATTTCTAATGTGATATTTTATCATAAGAGATTATGATAATACAACAATTATCACTAGCCAAAATAGATTTTGATTCAATTCATTTTCTAGAGAATATACAAGAAACGTGTGGTTTAATAACCCATTTTGTGGACTAGTCATCCTCTTAAGAAATTTCATTGTGTTTTGTAATGCATCAACAAAATAGTTGTATGTATCAATGAAATAAATTTGCAACCTGAAGTTTGCAAGATGACTTAGTAATGCTAGTGAAATCACATCTTAAGTCTATGGTGAAAGAAAAACATGTTTGTAAGAATAAATGTTGAACATTCAATAGAAAATGTTCATCATTGGACATAATGCACAAGCATTAACTCGCATAAAGCCAACAAGTAACTAAAAGTTCTCCCCATCAAAATTAGTTTTGGGTCAGAAACCTTTGGATGTGCAACATCCACATTGCTCCACCACAGCAATATAAGATGGATCTTCAAAAGAGATTGTAGATGTTGGATATGAATCTCCATTGATAATATCTAGAGCTATCCCTGAAGGATTTAAGTAAGGCTCATTATAGACTACCATGTTAATGGATAAGTCTTTCCAACATCAGGGGGAGAAAAAAAGGCTGGAAAGAAAAGTAGTTTGAATGAATTATCATTGATCCTCGGACTATAGAATGTGAAATAGAAGTCCAAAAGATAGTTCATTCACAAAACTTATTGTATCAGTTGCCAGATACATTTACTGACCCAAATATAGTGATTGAGTCACTTACCAGCTGTAAATGCTCTAATAAGAATTGATGTCCCAGAAGGACAATATCAAGCTGCTAGTGAGTCTAAAGAACGCATGAAGCGTGATAGACTTGTCGGTTCCAAATATTAGAATCCTCGAAAAAGTAAAAGAGCATAAATTGACAATGGTCAAACCGAGGAAACAAATATTTTTGAGTGATCTCCAGAAGAGACATTAAACATGACAAATAAGAAATTCAGGTACCTGAGACAATGATGAGATCTCGAGAAATTACTTATGTCATGTATAGAATAAAATGGAACCAGAAGCAAATCGACGTCGTAAATAATATATTTGCATGCAATGTAGCAGTTGATATTATGAATGAGAAAGAGGATCATGAAACAAAGTCTATTGCATTGTGTACACAAAGTAATGATTTGGCCAAATCGAAAAGAAGCAATAGACACAAAACTCTTAGAAAGAGAAAGTATTTGGACCAGAAGTCCTTTCACCTAAAAAGTGTGAAACAAGTGAGTTATAAAGGCATTTGTGCCGAAGAAAATGAGTATGAAGAGATATACTCTCATGTGGTGGATGCAACTTTCAAGTTCATTAAGTCTGGCAATGAAAGAAGAACTTGACTTATACAACTCACTAAACAATGACATTTATATAAAAGTCCCTGAAGGATATAATCATTGAAGAATTAATGATATAATCGTTATGTTCCCGGAGAAATATTAGCTATTCAATCAAATGAAAAGAAATATGATTCATGGATATAATCACGAAAGTAAATACCCATGTATATTTAACAAAGTATTATAGATCAAAAGAGATCATGAAACTAAACATCGAAATTCCAGAAGAATTTTCGAAATTAGTATCACAAAAGAGATGGGATAAAAGATCTTGGAAAGACAAAGTTGTCTTAAGATATCCCAAATTCCCAGAAATGTTATGGCATGATTTACATAAACAATGCTCACATATATTTGGTCCTGAAGTACCATACTTCAAATGCTATTTGAAAAATATGTTAGTCTCTTTCATAATTGAAAATGAGCAAAATGAGATGAGATTATATATACAAGATAGATGTTTACAAGAATGTATATAAAAGAGAAAATTTGGCCAGAAGTCCAAATGATTGTTTATAGAAAAAGATGTCTAGACTAAAAGTCTAAATGACTTTCATCAAAGTTATACTTATAGTAATCTCCAAAAGATAGTATTGGAATGCATCTCCTGAAGAAGATGCTTCCAAGGGGGAGAATATGATGATATGTGTGGTTGTACTCTTTTTCCTTATCATGGTTTTTATCCCATTGGGTTTTTCCATGAAAGGTTTTAATGAGGCAACAAAGAACACACAAATGAGAAACATCTAAAGAAGTCTTGTCATCTATTTATGAGATCAAGTGAAGCAAGGAGATTGATCAAGATGAATCATCTTGATCCATGCAACCAAGAAGAATGGCGATGTCAATGTTCTAAAGACTGTTCAAGTGAAGATTTTAAAGGAGTTTCCATCTGCTATTATCAAGAAGTCCATTCACCTAATCTACACGGATGTTCTCATGAGGGGGAGTAGTTGCGCGCTGTACTCTTTTTCCTTAACTAAGGTTTTTCCCTTTGGGTTTTCCTGGTAAGGTTTTAACGAGGCAGCATCATGCGCACTTAGAAGATATTTTTAGATAATGGACTTCCAAGGGGGAGTGTTATAACTAGTTTATATGGAAGCCCATTATCGGCCCATATTCTAGAATGTTCTAGCTTGTTCTCCAAGTGTATTCCTCTCCAAGGAAAACCCTATATTGTAATCCTATATAAAGGACTCATTATCATGAATAAGATACAACCAATTCCTCTTCTCTTGTTCTCTCTTCTTCTATAACATTCTTAAATTTTTTTAGAATAGAATTTTCATTAAATATAAATGGATACAACAAAGAAAGTTTTTTTTTTCTGGGTATGAATGTTAAACAATGAAAGTTATGTTGATATGTTTATTTTCAATAATACTTCACTCCTTGCATTTTCTCCTTAGCTATTGCAAAATTCATATTTTTTTGTTGCCAGTAAATCATATGGTTCAGAAATTAGGTTAGAACTGAATTTTGTACCATACCAAAAAAACAAAATAAAAATAAAAACGACTACGTACGTAGAAGTGGAAGACTAATACATACGATTCCAAAAAACTGGTCACTTAAGCATTGGTCAAATTTGATCGTGCGGCCATGTTTAATACTGAAGAAGTTGACCTGGTAACCCATTGAATGTTTAAGAATCAAAGATTCCTTTGTTTGTTTTAAATACTGAAACTCTGTCTAATCAAAGTCCAGAGATCCTTTGTTTGTTTTTTTTTTGAAAAGCAAAATTCATTTTGAGTCGAACGTTGTATTATTATTTTTTTGCGTAAGGGATTGAACGTTGTATTTGGCACGTCGAAGTTATATAGATTCCATTAAACAACAGTATCAACGTACTATCAAGTATTAAGTGACGTCTATTTCATATGTAGCTAAGTACCGTCATATTAAAGAATCAGAACTCCTTTTTTGGTGCAATATAATAAGAAGTCTACAATAATCTAATAGTATACAATTAGATCACTGCTATAATAGTAGTTATTTAAAAATATGTGTGTGCAAAACTCCATAATTTGATGGTACTGTACATCATGATTCCGACTAAAAACTCATGATTTTGAAGACTATGCAATTTTGCTTCACGACGAAAATCACACTTCTAGCTACAATTTTATAAATTTTGCAGCAAGTTTCCAATTATAATTTTTCACTGATTGTGCGATTATTGCTTGAGCTGACGTTTATCCGATCTCACTATTATTTCAACCAAAAGAAGAGATTTTTGCTTAAAAATGTGACATGGAAATTAATATATTTCTATAATGATTTTGGATGATGATATGACAACATTCTAACTATGCTCTATTTGCTTATAAAAAAGTCCGTGCTTGGAAGAATTTTTATTTCTTGAAGTATGATGTTCGTCTTGCTCCGGCTCCATGCTTGCAATCTTGCATCTAGAAGTACAAGCGGGTAATCTATAAATCAAAACCATCATTCATCCAGAATTGATTAAACTTCTGTTAAAACTTTTTATTGTTACTGTTTGTTAATAATGTAAACCAAAAACAAAAATTTATTACAACATCAAAATACCTAGCTACCCCGATTTCGCCCACATACTTTGTCTTTAAGAGACTCAACAACATTGTACGAGAAGCCAAGGGTTCACTATATGAAATTTATGACTATAAATCGGAAGATGTCCCCTTTGCATTTGTTATGCCCGTAACTTCGTTACATTTATATATCCAAATCGAATCATTTTTTTTTAAACAAGGTTTTTCTAGTCAAGGAGTAAAAGAAAGAGAGAAAACGTTTATAAAAAGGCCCAATGATAGCCCAACAAACATTATTCCATTGGAAAATCTATCACAACGATCAAAAAAGACAATGTATCACATAAACACGAAACGTAAGAGATATATCGAATGAAAAAAAACCTTACTCGTAAAGCTTCATCGTAAATTACAAAAAACTATGATTGATTTATGTGACAACAGATTTAAGACGATTTTTATTGAAGACTAATTGTTTGATCAAATACTACTGTTTTAGAAAGAAAGGGTGAAAACGAGTGAAGATGGATCAATTTCGGAGGAAACAACACTATAGATAGACTATATAGTATGTAGTGTACAAAAACTGTCCATATGTTACTCGGATATTTAAGAAACTATTTTTTGTACTATCAAGGTAAAAATATCATATTCAGATAATTCCAAAAGGAGGTCCCAGCTGGAGTAATTAATTTAACTGATGTAATTTTCTCGTGTTATAACTTATATGTATACACACAATATTAATTTAAGAAACTATTTTTTGTACTATCAAGGTAAAAATATCATATTCAGATAATTCCAAAAGGAGGTCCCAGCTGGAGTAATTAATTTAACTGATGTAAATTTCTCGTGTTATATGTATACACACAATATTATGTATATTGCATGGAAAGAGATGGACAAAATTAAGATCGAATCACTATGCAGCTAGTAACATTTGTTTATAGATGTGATGATACAAATTGGCAGTATCAAACAAACTCAAAACGGTTATATATTCAGACCTTTTTGTTTTCTTTCTAATAATTAAGAAAAATACAGAAATAATTAACAACAAATACACTGAATATAAAAATATCGGATAAGTACCTCAAGATCTCACTTAGAATTTGTCCCATTCCTTAACTAAAATTCATAGAGTCAGATCCAGAGTACTTGTCTGTCCAATCTTAACCGTCCGATCCTCTTCATTTGTCTTGATCAGTCGGCTCTTTTTGCATGAAGACGACCCCGAACATAGCGACAAGGACAACGTTTGATCGGTTGTTGTTGCTGCTGTTTCTGTCTCTTCCAAAATTGTCTTCTCGGGTCGTACTAGCTTAAGAGATAGATCAAGATCAAGATCGATGCTTGTACTTGCACCTCTTTTGCCATTTGTCTTGTTACAATAAGCTTGATTAGTGGTGTCTTCAACACCCTCGAACTTTTCGAAGGTTCTTGAGTGTCCTTGAATGCTGTTAAATGTGACCGGCTTGGTCCATTCTTGATGATCGTGTCTTAGTTTCGGTAAGTGACTAGAAATTGAAGAAGCGTAGATGTTTTCGAAAGACCTGTTGTTACTCCAATACTCACTACTACCACGGATGTTATTGCTAACCGGTGAGCCGTGAATCAAACCGGGCCTAATTTGGTCTATCAAACTCCGGTTTGCTTCGTGAGAGCTAGAGTTCCACAAAGAAGCATTTGAAATTTTACTTCCATATCTACAAAAAAAAAAAATAGTTTTAACAAAATGGAAGACTATTTGTATAGTTTCAAAGTAAAGATGAAATGGGATATTAATCATATGAGGGAACACATAAGATATATAATTTACAAAAATAATAAGAAACCTGAATGGAGAATCATGGTTATGATTATAGCCTCGGAACATCGGTAGCTGACTTAGTTTGTAAATATTTCGATCTGTGGAAGTCTCGATGAAATGTCTGTGATCAGCTATGGCTGCCAACAATTAATGGACATCTTAGATGACTAAAGTATAAATGAGCGAACGAATCAAAAACCTACTTACTTTTTCACATATATGTATAATCTTGATATAGCTTATAAACACAAATAGAGAGAATCAATACCTTGACCTTGATCATCAATCTTCTTGCTCCTGTACATCTAAATTTCCCAATACACAATTTCATAAGAAAATTTGTCTGATTTCGCATATTCTTTGAAACAAAAACCACAATACAACACATACGTACCTGTAGATGGCTCTTGACATGAGCAATACTAAGCCCTTTGATGTTCATCATCTGACGGACCAACTTTGGAGTTGCTCCTATACATATTCAAAAATGTACAATAGTATCATTAAAAAGACAAAATACAAAAGGTTATTCACCAAATTTTGAAACTAAGAGTAACCAAGGATTTTCTAGCTTTATATGTGGAAAGAGTTGATGAAGATAGTAGCTAAGGACGTACTTTCTTGACCTCCAAGCCTCTCAACCGCGCGGACAAATCGAAGATGAAGATCAGGAGTCCACCGGAGACGAGGGACTTTAGATCTCACATAAGGCCTAACCTTTGTCTTCTTATCGCTCTCTTCCACTGTACTATTGCTCGAAACCTTACTTTCTTCTCCTTCTTCTACTTCTTCTTCTTCTTCTTCTTCCTCCTCCTCCTCATCTTCTTCTCTGTCAGTCTTTCTGCCTTCCTCCATACTTGGGATCATTTTTCCTTCTTAATTTTATGAATTTCAAGAAAAGTAGAAAATACAAATGGAAAGGGATGGAGATAGGCTCGGGGCTTTAGATATAAATTTGGGAAAAAGCAGATAGATCAATCCTTGGTATTGACATGAAAGAGATAAAAGACAAGATGAATTCAAAGAATGAAGATTTGGTCTCTGTCGATGAGAAACCCTAGATCAAGATACACTCAGATTCTCTCTCTCTCTCTCTCTTCCCGGGGCATGTAGACAAACCCTCACCTAAGTCTTGTTGCAAATGTTAAAAAGTGTTTCTTTTCTGTGACCAGCTAATGATTTTTGCTTTTATTCTTCTATAGACAGCTCTACATATATAAAAATTTGTATGCATTATTAGTATTAAGCATGGAGAAAAACTATTATCTTAGAAGAGTTAAATTGATATTTTCCTATAACATTCCAAAATATTACAAGTAACACTTATTTTATATTATTGTACATCACCAGGCAAAACGATTAGGTGTTAGAGTGCCTTTGATTCGTCAACCAACCTTTCGATTACGATAGATATAGAAATATATTCATTTATCGGGACTAACACTCTATGAATGGCATTAGTATGTTAACATTTTATATGCGTTTAGAAACAAACAAAACATCAAGAATTTTAAAATATGCTTGATACTTCCAGAGAAAAATAATTTAATACTAAATCGAATTCACAAAAATATAATATACCTTAGAGTAGAATTTTGTCGGAATTAGGATTTGAACTTTCAAGAAACTTGAATGAATACTTTTGTCAATTAATGTCCAAGCTCTTTGATGATCGAGATTATTGTCTTTTTTTACTTCATTTATAATTTCATCTGTTTTTTGTTTGTTTGCAACTTTATTATGGATCCTCAACGTTGTGGAAGATTCAGTACGTGACACCAATAAATTTTTTACAAAAATAATAATTTATCAGATTAAACAGATTGACAAGCTGTATATATACAAGAAAAGTAATTTGATATTACTTAACCATTTCCATTTGGTCATCGAAAGAATGTCATACTTTGAATCTATTAGAAAACTCATGAATGGACTAGCTAATATATGGGTGAAAGAGTATTGAGTAGATACAATTTTTTACAAAAAGGGATTGATGAGAAGATGAGGCTAGGGTTTTGCATGGAATTTAATGCTAAAGGCAAAAAGAAATGGAAGAGGGAAAGTGGTAGATAGACGAATAAATTACGATTACAAGGCGTGTGACTGCTCAGCTGTCTCTGATGTAGACCCCATCACACATTTTTTTTTTTTTTTCTCTCTAACGGGAATCACGGGGCATTGCTCCTCTCTTACACAAAAATTATATATCTAGTATGTATTTTGTAGATGTTTATCAGAGCTAATTTGTGTTTAAACCAAGAAAATTATTAGTGGTCCTTGCTTCTTGCGATTCACATCCGACCCCGTGAAGCGATGAATAGCGTTGTTAGTTGAGCCGTTTTTTACACCATTCTTCTTCTTTTTTTACACCATTCTTCTAAAACTATGTAATAGAGATGTAGTTAGAAAAGTTTGAAACGCATACTCCAAGCACTATCGTTTGATTCTATTTGCAAAATGCAACGAAATAGTCTTAAACTACCAAAAAAAAAACATATTATTAGCATCGATTTATTTTAATGTTGGGGTCAAACTTCGATAAAAATTTGTACCCGAACTTAACTGGCACTTGAAAGTTTGTTTTTTTTTGTAAAGTACTGGCAGTTAAGAGTTCATGAGATTATCTCTCTAGTAGTAAAAATAAATTCCAAACAGATCACATAAATTTGACATTTTATTGTTTTGCGATATTCTTATGTATAAGCATATATGAGCATGTGATTTTTGCAAGCCAAATAAAAAAGTTGTTGAGGAGAGGAAACTGTAAGCTTTGATGAAGTTGAAAAAAGAAGAACTTTGTCATTCCCCACACGTGTAGTGAGGCTTACCATCGATCCTTCACAAGCTTCTCGTCGCCACCCCTTTCTTCTCTACATTTAATGTCCTACGAAAAAAGAAGAAGAGACGTCTCCATCTTCCCTCTGCTTCTACTAGCTACATATATGTGTAGATATACATCCATATATGTTTGCTATTTGTAGACACGTCTATATTACTAGATAAATGCTTGTGCGTGGATAAATTGCTAACTTGACTTATGAGAAGAAATCTAGACTTACAATGCAATGGCGTCAAATCCTTTTACAACTTTACGTATAGTGTTGGAGGTGGGCATTTCGATCGGGTTTGATCTTGAAGCAAATTTGTGGCATGATTAGGTTTATATAAACTCAAAGTTTCAATAAAACTGTAAATTCTGCATAAATTAAAAATAGTGACCTAGAAAAAAACTGGTTGATGCCCGTTTTATATTTTTTCTTGAACTTGTAATCCATTTGAAAATGTATGTATATAACATGTATGTCATTTTAGACATTAGAGAAAGAAAGTTTAAAAAATTCATGAACAGACAAAAAAATTGGCTGATCTACCAAGCAAGGATCCACTAAGCTTATGAAAATAGATGGTTTGTGAGATATGACATTTAAATTAGACAAAAGGATCCACTAAGCCTGTGAAGAAAGAAAAAAATATAGAGATAGAGAACAACGCGAGAGTTAGGTGTGTCCTGACAAGATTCTTATACACCGGACTTGTGAACTATGAAGTCAACTTCTAAGAGTTATTAATTTGTTATTCCTACAAATACGGATCCAACATTATTCTCAATAGTTAGAAGTATGTATGTCTCTTTGCACATTTCCAAACCCATAATCGTACAAAAATAACATATTATAAGCATTTCAGTATACCTCAAATCTCTCTTGCAGATTCTCTCTCATAATTGTGTATATTTATATTCGGAATTGCATGCGCGGAATCTAAGTTTTGAAGAGCTAAAATTATTTAATTTCGTACATTTTCATCATCTGAATATATACACGTAAATATTGTTAAAAGTTAAAACCCATATAGTGTCACATCTATTTGATATATGTAATATGTCCTCGCAGTCCCTTCGATATATATGATAATGGACATATGCACCAAATTAAATATGGTAAAGGTAAGGAAATATATATGGTTATCTACAAAGGAAAAAAAAACTACTAGTGTGTAATGTATATCAGTATATGTTATGCGCAAATGTGAATTTTTGTGTGTCCACTTAAGGAGTGATATTATATACTTGTTTGCACAAAATGGAATCATTCTCTATCTGTTTTTATATTATATGACATTAATAAGTTGGACGCGACAATAAAAATAGCATAGTAGGAAGAAAAAAAAAGATCAAAGATGGCCCTTTTGATTTTCAAAAGTTAGTCAAAGTGTCGCAAATGTTAAATTTATAAAAGAATTTATCAGATTCAATTGGTTAGCTGAAAAACTATTCTGATCGCTATCTCAGTCCTTGTCAAACCAAAATTCGATATAGAAAAAACATGTTTATTTGACTGATTTTACGAAATTTCCATTCAATATTGCCTTCTGAGTATGAACTTACATTGTTCTTCTCACATACGTTCATGATGTTTACATCTTATTGCGTCTACAATCTACATATCGGTTTCTTCTTATAAGATCCTTCCTCTTTTCGATTTGCACAAGATAAGATGTGCATAGAATTACCACATGGGCAGAGAATTAGAATAAGATGTATCTATTTTAAGGCCTCAGCCAAAACTGAATGAAAAGGCCTTAGCCCAAACTAAGTACATCAAAGAATGTAGCTAATTATTTACAGTACAATGTTTCTCATATTGTTTGTAAGAGTAAAATTTATTTTTCTTGAGGTCGTTTGTATTCCATTACATATCAGATTTTCATGTCTGAAAATCTCAATATTTATTATCTCATCTTCATTTTCAAATAATTCATTACAAAATATTTTCGTGCGTATTTCTCATTAATGACCCATTTATTACCTTTTGGGATCTTCTCCGTATCTTTTTCTTCTTAATACATGTTTTTTCTTGTTATTTAGATTCAACCAAACAACATTTCCTCCATTGTTTTTTACCTCTCATTTTCTGTATCGTCATGGTTTTACTTCAGCATGTAAGTCTTTCTGTTACTTGCTCTCTAATCAATCAAAAGTTCTTCTGCTTGCTTTCTTCCTCTCTAAATCAATCTCACATGTCTTGTGTTTGATGCAGTTAGAGCAAGGTATGCGTCCCATTTCACGGTGTTACAATCCAGCGATGTATACAACAACAGTGGGAAGAAATTTGTTCACAAGTGCAGCCACAAGCAATAAGCTATTCTCAAGAGGTTTTCCAGCCGTAAAGCCAAAACCGAAAACCGAATCTAAAGAAGTCGCTGCAAAGAAACATAGCGACGCAGAGAGAAGAAGAAGGTCTCGAATCAACAGCCAATTTGCAACACTTCGCACAATTCTTCCAAACTTGACCAAAGTAAGTTTGCTTCTGCACTAAAAAAAACATATAAGATGTTTTTAATTTGTCCGATAATTAACATTTTTCACGTTTAATGATATTAAACAGCAAGACAAAGCATCTGTTCTAGGAGAGACTGTTAGGTATTTCAATGAACTGAAAAAGATGGTTAAGGACATACCAACCACACCATCTTTAGAAGACAACTTGAGATTAGGTCATTGTAACAACAAAGACATGGCGAGAGTCGTGTTCAGCTGCACCGACAGAGAAGGGCTAATGTCGGAGGTTGCAGCGTCGATGAAAGCAGCGAAAGCAAAGGCGGTGAGAGCTGAGATCATGACAGTTGGTGGAAGAACCAAATGTGCCTTGTTAGTTCAAGGTGTAAATGGGAACGAAGGATTGCTTAGGCTCAAGAAATCATTGAAAAGTGTAGTGAATCGCAAATTATCATCATCATCAGAGGCCAAGAAAACAACAACAATAATAATGGAAAGATCATTGTTGACTCAACATCCATGAGTAGTTTTTGTTTATTTTTGTACATCTCTGTTTCTTGTAGATGTAAAAAATATGAGAAGACTATGTAGACTGGTTTATTTCCACCTAGAAACCAATCAGAGATCACTAAAAAGGAAATAAAAGACAAACCCCAAATAATATAAAAAAGATAAGGCAACAGCAACACACATAAATGACATATACCAAACATAATAAAATTGCATTATTTGATGAGAACATGACTATGAATGACAACAGAAGAGAAAAAAACAAGAAACCAAAAAAGCTAAAGAGAGAAAGAGGAAAGAGAGAGAGAGGAGGAAGATCATTCCTCCAATTACCATCTCTCTACTTTTACGGGGAGAATTCATAAATTTGTGGGAAAAGAAAAAACGAAAGAGAAGAGATTGGAATTGATGAAAGTTACACTGCAAAAACACCTTTTCCGATAACAAAAAAAATCAAGCTATCGATTCTCTCGGCGGTTTCCGGTTAAAGAGGTCCGGTGGATTTTTGGCGTAATATCTTATTTCCCGATACACCCATTGAATCAAAATCTCAGATTGTTTTAAGGTGACAGCGAAAGTGTTCATCTTGTTCATCATCATCCCATTTCCGAGACCATCCGATTGATTCCGATTTCACAAATTTCGAAACTTTCTGTGAAGTTTTCGGATTTGGGTTTTTTGATTGGTCGAAGATGCATCACAATAATCTGTTCACGACAATGCGAAGTTTGAAGCTAATCGAAGGATGTAAAGGCACGCAGGTGTACGCTCTGAATTCCTCGGCTCCTCCTCCGCCACCGCCTCCTCCGTCTAGTGGCAGCGCCGGAGGAGTCGGCGAGAAGTTGCTACAGCATCTCCAAGACCATCTCCGCGTGAACTCAATCCGATCCAAATCCAGCCGGACTTACCCACCTCCGAATCAAACAAACGCCGTCGTCTCGCCGGATTCTCTCCTCCCTTACGGACTCCCCGTCACGGATCTCCTCGAGCCGCAGATCGATCCTTCCCTGAAATTCGTCGATTTGATCGACAAGCTCGCCGAAGCCTACCGTCGAATCGAAAACTGCCAGCAATTCGAGAAATCCGACGCTTATTTAGAACAATGCGCAATCTTCAGAGGCTTACCCGATCCGAAACTTTTCCGGCGGAGTCTCCGATCGTCTAGGCAACACGCGGTTACCGTCCACACGAAAGTCGTCTTAGCTTCATGGCTCCGATACGAGAGGAGAGAAGACGAGCTAATCGGAACCTCCTCCATGGATTGCTGCGGCAGAAACCTCGAATGCCCGAAAGCGACTCTCGTCTCCGGGTACGACCCGGAATCCGTTTACAACCCGTGTGTTTGTTCCTCCGCCGTAAGATCAGAAATCAACGATGACGAAGAATGTTCAACATCTGATGAAGAAGACTACGACATGTCCTTTTGTATCGGCGATGAGGAAGTTCGTTGTTCGAGGTACAAGTTTGCGTCTTTATCTAGACCCTTCAAGGCGATGCTATACGGCGGCTTTAGAGAGACGAAACGAAGCACGATCAACTTCACGCACAACGGAATCTCCGTGGTAGGGATGAGAGCTGCAGAGATTTTCACTAGGATTCGAAAAGTTGACATCTTTCCTCCTAACATCGTCTTGGAGCTTCTCTCGTTAGCGAACCGTTTCTGCTGCGACGAGTTGAAATCAGCCTGCGATTCGCGTTTGGCGTTTCTTGTGAACAGTCTTGACGACGCGTTGTTGTTGATCGAATACGGTTTAGAGGAATCTGCGTACCTTCTTGTGGCTGCTTGTCTTCAGGTTTTCCTCAGAGAACTGCCGAGCTCGATGCATAATCCGAACGTTGTGAAGATCTTCTGTAGTGGTGAAGGAAGGGAGAGACTTGCTTCGGTTGGTCACGCTTCGTTTACGTTGTATCTGTTCTTGAGCCAGATTGCTATGGAAGATGATATGGAGTCGAACACGACTGTGATGGTGTTAGAATGTTTGGTTGAATGCGCGGTTGAGAGTTGGCAGAAGCAGCTTGCTTGTCACCAGTTAGGAGTTGTGATGCTTGAGAGGAAAGAGTATAAAGATGCGCAGAGATGGTTTGACTCTGCGGTTGAAGCAGGTCATGTTTACTCTCTGGTCGGTGTAGCTAGGGCTAAGTTTAAGCGTGGCCATCGTTACTCGGCTTATAAGATCATGAACTCGATGATTTCGGATTGCTCAGCTACTGGCTGGATGCATCAGGAGAGGTCATTGTATTGCAGTGGTAAAGAGAAGCTGCTTGATATGGACATTGCCACTGATTTGGATCCTACTTTGACTTTCCCTTACAAGTTCCGAGCAGTGTCATTGGTGGAGGAGAGTCAGTTTGGAGCTGCGGTCACGGAGCTGAACAGGGTTATGGGATTTAAGGTCTCTCCTGACTGCTTGGAGATGAGAGCTTGGATATCTATAGCTATGGAGGACTATGAAGGTGCTTTGAAAGATATTAGAGCGCTTTTGACATTGGAGCCGAACTTCTTGATGTTTAACAAGAAAATCCATGGAGATCATATGGTGGAGCTTCTCCGGCCTCTAGTCCAGCAGTGGAACCAGGCTGATTGCTGGATGCAGCTCTATGATCGTTGGTCTTCTGTTGATGATATTGGATCTCTTGCTGTTGTTCATCATATGTTGGCTAATGATCCAGGGAAGAGCCTCTTGCGTTTCAGACAGTCTCTTCTTCTCTTAAGGTTGAATTGTCAAAAGGCAGCGATGCGTAGCCTTAGGCTGGCTCGAAACCATTCAAAGGCGGAGCATGAGAGGCTTGTGTACGAAGGATGGATATTGTATGACACAGGACACCGTGAGGAAGCGTTGGCCAAGGCAGAGGAGTCAATTTCCAAACAGAGATCTTTCGAAGCGTATTTCCTTAAAGCTTATGCTCTTGCAGACTCAACGCTTGACCCTGAGTCGTCAAAGTATGTCATCCAGCTACTTGAAGAAGCACTTCGGTGTCCATCAGATGGACTCCGTAAGGGACAAGTAAGTGACGAACCAATAAAGCAGATTCGATTTATCATATCATCCTTTGTGCAGTGTCATGAAGAGAATGTTGTGTTTTTTTTTTTTTTTTTGCAGGCTTTGAACAATTTGGGAAGTGTGTATGTTGACTGTGATAGGCTTGATCTTGCAGCAGATTGCTACACGAACGCGCTAAACATCAAGCACACACGAGCTCACCAAGGCCTAGCTCGTGTGTACCATTTGAGAAACCAAAGGAAGTCTGCTTATGATGAGATGACAAAGTTGATAGAGAAAGCTCAGAACAATGCATCAGCCTTTGAGAAGCGCTCTGAGTATTGTGACAGAGAGATGGCACAGAACGATCTAAGCATGGCCACACAGCTAGATCCTCTGAGAACTTACCCTTACCGTTACAGAGCCGCAGGTACGCCCTAAGAGTTTCACAGCCCCATTCCTTGTTTCTCTGTTTACTTGCTAATCACTTTTGCCATGAAATCTTGATTTACAGTTCTTATGGACGACCATAAAGAGAAAGAAGCCATTGAGGAGCTGTCGAAAGCCTTAGCCTTTAAACCTGACCTCCAGCTGTTACATCTACGAGCAGCATTCTTTGATTCGATGCGTGAACCTGCAGATGCTATCAGAGACTGTGAAGCAGCTCTGAGTCTTGATCCAAACCACTCAGATACCATCGATCTATATCACAAAGCACGTGAGCCACAATCATAGACACACCCGTCTGCAATCTTTTTTCTTCCTTCTCACGCTACGGCAAGACCTCTTTGCTCTGAGACCATAGATACTGGTATGCCATGTCATATACTCACTGGAACATTCCAATGGGAAAACTAAAGCTTGGTTCTTTAGTGATCAAGAAGGTTTGGTCGAAGGATAAAACCAAAGGAGCTGCAACACAGAATGTAAATATAAACTTTATACTTTGGGGTTTTTGGTTTTGGGTTTGATGATTGGATGAGGGTAATATATAATTAGCTCAGAGTGTTTTCTGGCCAAAAGTAACACGAAGAAGACTATCTCTGGTGAAACTGGACTTCTTGTATATGTTGTTGTTCTTTAGATGTTTCACTTTGTGTTGCTTCTTTCTTTAATTTATTTAATGTGTAACTTATTTTTTTTTCTCATGTTTCTTTCACACCTAAGATTATATTTTTTTTCCCCTTTCCAAACAGGAAAGTGAGTTATGTTTGTAAAATGCTCTTTCAAGATGCTTACGATAGGGATTATTCTAAACACCTTATTATAAACTTTATTCAACATTTAATTCTTATATATATCATTCATCAAGTACCACAATTTCCACCAGGTCCTCCATAAGAGAAGGCTACACCATTCTCGCTGCTGGAACCCCAATACGTTATTTTAAAACACTGAGCATCTGCATAATTTTTTATTCTCTTCTCTTCAATGTCAATCATACCGGTCTTCGAATTTATAACTTTCAAATGCTTAAAGTATGAACTCTTCTGAAAGTCGGGAACCGGAAACTGCCCATTTCCCATTGGAGGGCTAATTCCATCTGGAGACAGATATGTATTTCCTCCAAAACGCACTAAAGAAGTTCCTTCGTTTAAGTGTGTAAATAACTCTTTAGGCCAATAACCAATTGTGTCGTCATCATCAAACACTTTTAATACCCAGTTTCCAGTAGTGTCATCCTGAAGAAAAATGAAGCAACAAAAAAAATTACTAAGAAAAATATATTAAGCATAAGATTTTGATAAGAAGAACCTGACGCAAAGTATATTTAAAACTTAAATATCTAATTAGTCCGATTTTTTTCTGAAACTCAGACCAAAAAGACTAATAGGGTTTACTAAAAAAAAGGGAATTCTTAATATTCATGTCAAAAATAAATTACATATTTATTCTCTTTAAGGTAAACAAAAAAAAAGTTTACCTGAAAGATTTGTGGTGTGAAATAAGCTGTATCAGGAGATGATTTACCAAAAATGTTTCCAATTGAAGGATCTTGAGTTACAATAATAAATCCAGGACACATTGTATTATAGCATCCGGTTTTTGTGTAGCTGTCCGCCTAATAAATTTAAAAACAAAATCAATGCATAATATAGTAAATGATAAAAAAAAATCAAACCGGTGATTTGGTTTTATTTTGTAATTACAAACGACTTATTATTGGTCTACCATGTAAAAGAAAACATAATAAATAAATAAAACTCTAGTTTTACTTACGGTCCAATATATAGTAAATCGCACAAAACTATCTCCATACAATCTTGGATGCACCTACATAAAAAAAAAATAGATAAGGTTATGTAGTTCTATTGCATATGTAAAATCACATGACTGTATAAGGTTAAGATATCCAATTTTGTTTCTGTAAGGTTATTACCGCCCAACCAGCTTGTATGCTATTGAGTTCACTACGAGGTCCATTCTCTAATCAAATTTGACCTTTATTGTATTGGTTTATTTGTACAGTCACATTATGAATACTTATTTCAGCTTGTGCTCCTCGGTAAATGATACTCGGATCCGAGAGAGTCTCAACTACTGCAAACTGTACATCACATAAATATTAAAAGCTCGGATCTTTGTTTAACATGTTTTGCATGTTTCATAAAACCGAAAAAAAAACAGAGAAAATATTTACATGTTGGCCGGGATAATCAACTGTGTCGAGATGAACGCTCTCAGTTCCATTTCTTTGTCTTAAAATTGGGACTGTTCCTTTGGGACAACGCTGACCATTTCGTTTATGTTTATTGTTTCTATTGAGGCTTTCACCTGAATTGAATGTTTCCTGTGAATTATAGCACAAGAACAAGGAGATCAAAAACAAGAAGAAAATTACAAGATTATATTTTTCTTATGTTTAAAAACTTTGTTTTCCACATTTTGATTGAATAAAAGACAACTATCATACCTGAATCTTGTGGTGTTTCAGTAATGGATGTTGGAAAGCGGGTTGTTTGTATATATCAACACAATCGAAATCCTATAAAAATAATTACAAAAAGAATTTAAAACAAAGCAATCTTCTTATAAACTAAAAACATCAAATTTTGAAGAATGGAAAAACAAAAGTAGTCTTTTTAGAATCTCACATCAATATTTCCTTCGATCACTTGCACTAAACGCAGACAAAAAGATAAAAAGAGCAGTAGTAAAACCATTGTGTTGTAAGAAAGAGAGAATGAAGATGTCTTTTTCATGAGTGTAGAGAGCTTTTTATATAGAGTATATAGTAGGGTTTCAAAGGAAATCTACAATGGAGAGTAGTGAGCCTAATGGGCATCCACCTATAGACCTAATGGGCATCCACTCACCCATAACACATTGTGAAATTTATCTATTTTATACCATTAAGTTACATTATATATGATTCATCAAGATTATTTTGAGTGTGGATATAATTTTTTAGATTTTCCACTTTCTATTGATTGTGGGATTCATCCATTTTCCCCCTCGAGATGATGTCACTTCAAATTCATCAATCTCAAATTGAATCGTAGTCTAAAATCAATAACATACCCAACTTAAATCATGTCTTATATATTTGATTCTCTAAATTTTTGATATTTTTATTATATCTTTAATTTTTTTCACTTCTGGAACTTTAAAGATATAATGCATCAATGATTTTATTTTCTATAAGTAAATATATATTTATATACTCTTCCAAATATATATATTATTTATTTGCTGTCATTTTATTTCTCTGTGAGTTCTTGAAATTAAACTCTTTGGTTTTAACCTTAACTTTAACCATAAAAGATTCATATTTATGTTTATATCACATTCACTTCAAGAAATGAATCAAAACCAATTAGACAAGATTCAAAATTTTCATCAATAACTCATTATTTTATCAAAATAATTTCTAAAACTTTCTTTAATAATATTTTGTTTGCTGGACAATATTATTTATTTAAGATGTATACGTTTTATCATCATTGATATACATTATCTTCCAGATAAATAAAAATCATTTATAAACTTCAAGATATTTATATAGAGAATAGTAGAAAAATAAATAAATATTATTAACATATATAGAAACAAAATATAATAATATAGTAATAAAATAAATAATATTAAATATGAGAAGATTTAATTTTGAGATAAATCAAAAGTTAAGAGGTAGATGTAACGTGTTGTAAGAAAGAGAGAATGAAAATTTCTTATTTATGAATGTAGAGAACTATTTATATAAACTACATAGTATGGTTTCAAGGGAAATCTACAATGGAAAGAATAGTAAATCTAATGGACATCCATCTATAGATCTAATGGGCATTCACTCACCCATAACACATTGTTGAAATGAGAAATTTTATGAAATACACCTCTTGAGGTGCAAATTTTCAAAACTACATCTATGGTGTAGAAATTTTCAAAAATACACATTTTCCTAATTTTAATATATATGTTTGGGTTCACTAATCCTAAATTAGGGTTTAGATTTTGGGATTTAGGGTTTAGATTTAAGGGTTCAATGTTAGATTTTAGGGTTTTGGATTTATATTTTAGGGTTTAGAGCTCTTTTACTAAATGAAAAAAATGTAGTTTTGAAAATAGACATCGTAGAGGTGTATTTTGAAAATTGGCACCTCAAGAGAGGTGTAGTTTTGAAATTTCCCCTTGTGAAATTTAACTTATTTCTCTCTAATGATATTTGTCGTCATATATAAACTAGTTCGAGTCAGCCATAATGACATTATTGCTAGTAAATGTCTTTCCTAAAGACATTTTTTTTTTGGGACCAATCCTAAAGACAAATTGATGATAACGTCTCAAGCTTTCCTCATTTCCTTCAATGACATTTCATATCCGTAAACCGTAACTGTCTGATATTTTATTGATTACATAAAGATTCTAAGTATCCTCGTCCAGTTTAATATACCGTCCTGTTAAACACTTAACTAAACTGGACGGTCCTGTGTATCAGCGTTTTATAATTTTGATTGAGTCTGATTTCATGATTGGATGGGGGTTATATATAAGAACAATTTTCCATGCAAAGAAAACCAGAATAATTTTTTGAATTTTTATTATTGTTACGTTGTATGATTGGTAATAAACTAATAACACAGTCGCTGCAATTTTCATATTTATGAAATCTCACATCAAATTTTTATGTGTTTATGCAGTTCACTCACTTGAACAAGAGTCAGCCGTTCACTTGAACAAAAATCTTCTTTGAAATTTTGCTAAAAGTCGAAAAGCCAAAGAAGGTAATAAACGACTTTTTCATCTTGCTTTATGCTATAAATCCTTAGTAATCATGGCATCTTGCTTTATACTTGAATCCAAAAATCCAATGTTTATTCCTTACTAATCATGGCATCGAGCTGGTTTTAAAGGGAGCGAAGTTTGATACCTTGGCACGTTAAAAAAAGGCCCAAGAAGATATGGAAGAATGGAGAAATCGAACATAAGTAGGAAAGGAGATGGGAATGATCACACATACACTTATAATCTTCCAAGAAAGCCATGGACTCGTCCTCGTAGGGGCTGGCTTAAGTGTAACGTGGATGGAACTTGGTAAAAAGAAGCTAATAACAATGGTGTGTAGGGTTGGGTCTTAAGAGATGATAAAAGGAATGTCCTTCGATCGGTTGGGTGCAAAGTAGCTGCCAAGACTGAGATCTGTTCTAGAGATCGAGATAGAAGCTCTTAGATGGGCATTTTCACATTAACGAACCTCCACTCTAACAACATCATCTTTAAAACAGATTCTAAGGAGGTTCTTAAGGAAATTGCCAAAGAGGATGGTTGGCTTGTATAAATAGTTGTATACTTACTTGTACAGTAAGTGGTTGTTGTAATTAAAGTTTGAAAACTTGGATTACTAATTAAAAAAAAAAAAAAAAAAAAAAAAAAAAAAACTTGGATTACTAGTTGGTGTAATACTAGACAATGCGATATTGGTACTAATACTCAAGTATCAATTCATTTGTATATACGTGACCAAATAAGCAAATACATATAGTAATCATTTGTATGTAGTACAGTACACATATATACTTGTATTAATCATTTGCATACTTATTATGAAAACAGAGAATCAGATCTTGTGGACATGAAGTAGTTCATAAAGTATATCAACTTTGAGGCATTGTCTCTGAAAATGTTTGAAATCGGAATTTCACTTTCACTCGGTTTGTTGAAAATCGCAATTTAGTAATTTACTAGACCCGGTTTATTCCTCAGTTTAAAAAGTCTATTTCTCGGCCCAAAGTTTATTTTGGGCTTTTAAGAAATTAGGGCTCAGCAAACTCGTATATAAGAAGGTGAGTGCTGTGAGAGAACGGCTTCAGCCGTCGGAGAAGTCACAGAACGCATTCGGAGATTCACCTGCAAACATGGTTCGTCAATCTTCTCTCTAACTCTCGTATTCTCAAGCTATTCGCCATTTGTGACTTCTTCTCGTTTGGCTTAGTTTCTCTCGATTTAGATTTGGGAATAGTTTTAGGCTTCAAAATGTGTCTCGTTGGGAAAAGTTTTGGCCTTTTTATCATTCCATTAAGAATCAACACTCGAGAAATCAGTAGAATTGTTTTACTTGTTGTCCTCTATGCGTAGTGATCACAAAGCTCCAAACTTTACCTATTGATCTAGAGAACTCAGTATTACACCTTCCTTGTAAAAAATGAGACTTTATGATAATGAGACTGTTCACGAACTTGATTTAACTTCAATATTGGATCATTTCTGGTTTATGCAGGCAAGGGGATTGAAGAAGCATCTGAAGAGGCTTAATGCCCCTAAGCATTGGATGCTCGAGAAGCTTGGTGGTGCCTTTGTAAGTCACTCTCTTGAAAATCTTGCTGGCTTAGTTTTCACTCTATATGTGTTTCTTGAAACCTAACAACGCTCCCTCTCTACTCTGCTCAGGCCCCTAAGCCGTCATCTGGACCACACAAGTCGAGGGAGTGTCTTCCTCTTGTTCTTATCCTCCGTAACAGATTGAAGTATGCTCTGACATACCGTGAGGTGATTTCGATCTTGATGCAAAGGCACATTCAAGTTGATGGCAAAGTCAGGACTGACAAGACCTACCCTGCTGGTTTCATGGGTTAGTCAGCCTCTAAAGTTTGTTAGCTTCTTTGAATTGATCAGTGACTCATGATGGCATTATAATCACTCTTGTACAGATGTTGTGTCTATCCCAAAAACGAATGAGAACTTCCGTCTTCTGTACGACACCAAGGGACGTTTCCGTCTCCACTCTGTCAAGGATGAGGAAGCAAAGGTTTGGCCTTTATTGCTATTTGCTTGATTGATGATATTACAGTTTTGTGTTGTGATTGTGTGTGATCTAACGTGTTTCTTTGTTTGATCATGGTGCAGTTCAAGCTGTGCAAGGTTAGATCTATCCAGTTTGGCCAGAAGGGGATTCCATACCTTAACACATACGATGGACGCACCATCCGTTACCCCGACCCGCTCATCAAGCCTAACGACACGATCAAGCTCGACCTCGAGGAGAACAAGATCGTGGAGTTCATCAAGTTCGATGTTGGAAACGTTGTCATGGTCACCGGAGGAAGAAACAGAGGGCGTGTTGGTGTGATCAAGAACCGTGAGAAGCACAAGGGAAGCTTCGAGACCATCCACATTCAAGACTCTACTGGTCACGAGTTTGCCACAAGGTTAGGGAATGTGTTCACGCTCGGCAAAGGAACAAAGCCATGGGTTTCTCTTCCCAAGGGAAGAGGTATTAAGCTTACCATCATTGAGGAAGCAAGGAAGAGGCTTTCTCAACAAGCTGCTTAAAAACATTCCCTTTTCTCAGTTTCAGAAGACTGTTTGTTTTCTTGGATCTTATTTATGGTTTTTTATTTTCTCATGACTTTTATATGCCTTTAGAGGTTTGTTTTGTCAGACTCTTTAATCTTCTGGGATTACGTTTAAAACAAAAATAGAGAACCTCTTGGTATCTCCATCTTCATATTCACAAAGACAAATGTAGCATTCTTGTAGAAGCACAAGAGAGTAGTAGATAAATGGAGTGTCATGTCATTTATGTTTTCAATATGCTTGAAAATTACAAATATTGAGAATTTTAACCTTTTATGTAACACAAACAAGTAAAAGTTTTGCTTCATCAGATTTCATTTGACACAAAGGAGTAAACAAAGCTTACACACACAAAAAGCTTATTTTATAATGTAACCATAAGTTAGAATTTATCAACACCAACACCAGGCCTAATCACTTCATAAGCATCTCTGCTCCTGCTTCTCTTCATCCCAGCCATGAAATAAACCTTTGACGCATCTGCTGAGATATAAGTCACTTTCACCCAAATCATCACCTTTGTTTTCAAGCCTTCCACTTCAGCTAGCTTCCCTTTCTCCAGATAACCAGTGACCGTAGTCGTAAACCTTAGCACCGATGAGTCTCTGTATCCGACCTCGCAGGTCTCAGGGATGAAGACAGTCAACTTCCCCGTCTCTTCATTGAACTCGTAGTTTGTAGCATCCTGTGGAAAGATCCCAACCGGTAAACCAAATTCCTTCAGCAGCTCAGGTAATGGCTTCTGCATTTTTCCTAGTTTCACAACAAGAATGATGAATCAATCAGTCAGGCAGGCATGCGAAGAAGTAACAGAAGATGAGAGAATTTATGAAACCAAAAGTGGAAACCTTTGAGTTTGTTGACCAACCACTTGGTACCTCCTTCAATACTGCTAGACAATGACTGCATTACAAAATCCAAATATTATCAAAGACTCAATGACAATTTTGTGTCTCCAAGAGATCCAAAGCAATAAACCTTTTCATGATATGTTACCATAAACACACAAATTGTAACAAAAGCTGTTGAAATGGAGCTCAAGAGAGCCCAACAGTAAATCTATATCTTCTTTCTTTTTTTTTTGAACTACTGCTAGTAAATCTATATCAAGTCTTCTTTTTTCTATAGTAACTCAATGATCTTCCACTAAAGAACAATCTTTCCCCAATTTAATGAAGATTTATGAAAATCAGTGAAACTTCCATTAAATCACACAACAAGATCTTCAATTAACCACAAAAGATAACACAAACTTAGTCCAGAAGCAAATGATTTTAAGCACAATTCTTCACAATAATCAAAAACCCTAAATGAACATGGATTAAGGAAGATGAGTTTCTTCTGAAATTTGGAGTGATCGGATGGTAAATTAAAACTCTGAAAGGGAGCAAAAAGGGATTAAGAAGGATACATTGAAATCGTCACCGACGGAGTTGAACTCTTTGTTAGCCTTTTTCCCTAACCAATAAGAGCCGACCTTGTTCATAATCTGATCCATCTCTTCTCTGCTGCGTTAACTTGAAACTTTAATCCGCCACAAAAGAGAAACAGAGAAGACGATGGCTCTTTTCTCTCTTTGAGCCTTTGAGGTTTCTTCTACTTCGCTGCGTATGAAGAAATTTGTTTTTTTTTTTTTTTTTTATTCACCGTCGAAAAGTAATTATCCACTGACCAATTATAAAAACAGCGCGACGTTCATCGTTCAGTAACTGAAACGACACAAAGTTTTAACCTTCCGTGTTATTTGGTGTACTTTGTTAAAGCAGAAATAGTCAATAGTCAAAGGTAACTCAGTTCCATTCCAAAGTCAAAACGCCTTAATCACGTTTCAAGCAGTCCAATTTTTTATTAGGCAGCTCACATATATATGTCCACTAGCTACTCTTCCTTTTAAAATTCAATGTTGTGATTTTCATTTTTCACAAATTTGGAGTCTCCACGGCGTTACATTATATTTAACGTTAGTTATTGTGTATTTGGTCTCAATTCCGGGTGAAATGATTTGGATTGTTGACTTTGTACGTGAATTGAAGTTTCTTATTTAAAAACCTCCCGTGATCTTCATTACATCAATTCTTAGGCTGTGCACAAAAAGCAAATCTCATCCATCGTGTTCACAATCACATGAACCATATGAAACCTGATACGCGTACTAAAAAGTTGCTCTTGCCACATCTCAATCATCTTCAATTAGCAAACACTTTGATGAACTCTCTTCTCCATGTGTTTGTGCATCACATGATGTATAAAAATGGATCTGAATGACTGAACGTGCATATCCTTCTCGTGATGTAAAAGAGGATGAGAGACAAGTTGCTTTGTATATTAATTTCAGACCGATAGATCATAACCAAAGCAATACGAGAATTTTCTTTGAAAAACTGTTCCATCTAGTTCATCAAATGGTCGTGAATATTCTTGAATATTAGGATATTCAGATATGATACATAGTTGTCCAAATCCAAATTTAAGGAGTTTGGATTTTGGATTTTGGATACACTCTATTGTGTTTCAGCTACAAGAACAAGCCTAGATGTCATTATTTAAGAAGACAAAAAAATTTCATATTGTTGATTGATTGTATACAAGGTTGAATTCATACACAACATGTCTACCAAGAGAGTGGCTTGACAAGCTGATCAAGTTGTTGCTGAACAAGCTGTTGCTGGTCTTGAAAGCTAATATATCAGGACGCCTTGCTTTTGTTCTACTCAACTCACTCAACCGCTTGTTTCGTTCCTTGTACCTTTTCCGCAGCCATTTTTGCCGTTTTTTCTCCTATTGTCGCTATTTTCCTACAAAATAAACCAAATCTCACAAAAAGTGAGTATTTCGGCTGATTTCTATCACATGCAAACTAACCGAGATGAGCAATTTCAAAAATCAAAAGATTTGCGTGAATATCTTCCTTCTCCATAGCAGATCCGGCCAAGTGTTGGAGATGAGTTAACACTCCCATAATGTAACGACCCAAATCAAGAAAAATCTATTTAAGTTACTAGAACATTTTAGAGCAAAAATTGTACTAAATTGAAACAATAAGAGGTATTTAGGGTAAGTTGGTTGGGCACTAATGAGTTTATCCTCTAATCCAAATTTTAAATGTAGATTAATGATATAATGGTTATGTCAAATGTAATAATCCTAATTTTGAACAGCAAGCTCTGAATTTCCACCTCTTATATCTTTATAAACAAATATTATAAGAACTTAAAAAGTAAAAACTATCTTAAAAATTATCTTAAATATTAACACTTATGTCGCATTTGAAGAAATAAGGTACTACTAATGTAGATTTCAATTCGAATCCATACGTAAGATCAGCATATCCAAAACCAAATTCGGTTTCCATAGATTTGGGAATATATCATTATTTGGATCAAACCACTCCAAGTTTTCAGAACAGATTGATTCAGAATTCGTCCAGCTTGGTCATCCCTAAATTAATTAAGAAGAAGAAGAAAAAAACTATTGCTACTTTTTTTTAGCATAAATTAATTTTAAAATTCTTGTTGTGTAAATAATATACGAAAATCATGGTCACAAAGCCATAATGAAAAGTGAAAATAGTCAAGTCAACAAAACTAGCCAGGGGCAAATATGTAAATTAAAGAAGAGCAAGTTGCTGGTTTTTTCGTTATCACCACTCACATGAACTCTGCATTTAAAACAATCTCTCTCTCGAAATCGAAAGGCACAGCCCAACTTTTCGCAAGTCGCTGTAAAGTTGATTTGCTCTTTTTTTATATACACACATATCTAACAACACCTTCCTCTTCAATCCTCCGTTTCTCTTTAACCCTAAAAAAGAAAGAGAGAGAGAGAAAGAGAAGAAAGATCAAAGATCAAAGATCGATCAAGATTTCCAAAACAAGAAACACCATTACTCAGATCAACATGCTCGCCGTTCACCGTCCTTCCTCCGCCGTATCCGACGGAGACTCCGTTCAGATTCCGATGATGATCGCTTCCTTTCAAAAACGTTTTCCTTCCCTCTCACGCGACTCGACCGCCGCTCGTTTCCACACGCACGAGGTGGGTCCCAACCAGTGCTGCTCCGCCGTCGTCCAAGAGATCTCCGCCCCTATCTCCACCGTATGGTCCGTCGTCCGCCGCTTCGACAACCCGCAAGCCTACAAACACTTTCTCAAAAGCTGCAGCGTCATCGGCGGAGACGGTGGAAACGTCGGTAGCCTCCGTCAAGTCCACGTCGTCTCCGGCCTCCCTGCCGCGAGCTCCACCGAGCGTCTCGACATCCTCGACGACGAGCGACATGTCATCAGCTTCAGCGTCGTCGGTGGGGACCACCGGCTCTCTAACTACCGATCCGTCACGACTCTCCACCCTTCTCCGATCTCCGGGACTGTCGTTGTCGAGTCTTACGTCGTTGATGTGCCTCCGGGGAACACAAAGGAAGAGACATGCGACTTCGTTGACGTTATCGTACGATGCAATCTCCAGTCTCTTGCTAAGATAGCTGAGAATTCTGCGGCGGAGAGCAAGAAGAAGACGTCCCTGTGATTGAGTTGTTTCGTCGTACGTCGAGTAGTTTCGTTTAGATCCGACGTCATTTTCATAGAATTTTTAGCCGTCGTGTGATCTATGTTTTTTCCGGCTTGTTATGTGAAAACCAAAATACATTAGTGAATTAATCTCATGCATCATGATCTTGTTATATTATCTTCATTTTTACCCTTTTTGTATTTTAAATCCATAAAGAACCGATTCGGATATGGCCTTGTTCCGGCTTTTACCACCCAAAGATAATATTATACATTTAGGAGAAATTTGTTCCCAAAAGAACAAACAATTAGGTGATTTTCAAGTTACATCTTTTATTTTATAGTGTTATGCGTAAATGAAAAACTCAGTACGTGTGTTTACTAAAGCTTACAATGCGTAAATGTTGACTCATATATGGTATAAATCTTAACATTGAGTTTTTAACCATGTTCATTTCGACACTAACTAAAACTTGCGTCCTTTTATATGATATGTGTAAATGAATTAGTATACGTATTATCAGCTTTTGGGAAAGATGGATGATTACTTTTAAATTTGGGCATAATATAATGTAGTTCTTCCCTGAGAATTGAGAACTTTAAAACATTCCTTAAACTTTTTTATTTCTACAAAATAAGAACAATGGATGCAACAAATTAATGAAGTGTTAATTTGTTACGATAACCAAAAATTCTCAGAAAAAATGAAAATTTTAGTTTTTTTATTTGTCGTAGTGGAAATAGATGAAATTTGCAGGCTTGAAAGGTCATGGACTCATGGGTAAGATGAAGAAAATACGTAACATGTATTTATCTCTTTAGAATATATATGAACATGTTGATGAGAAATTACAGAAATAAGAAACTGCAAGTGGACAATGCTTTGAATGATAACCCAACAATCCAAGCTGTTTTTTTCAGCTTAATAAAAAGGAAATGCAAGTTGCAAGTTGCAACTTTGTTTATTTCCCACCTCTTTTCTTTATGCTTCTTCGGTTCTTCCCAATCCAAATGATATAATATTAAAATTTTAATATTAAAAAATATACAGGAATAGAGAGAGCGCAAGTTGCATGTCCTTTTACATCACGAGAGTCACGATATGTTTCGTATCCGAGTGATCTCTCTGAATATTAATATTTAAATGTGGTTTCATTTGTTTTCAATATATTCGAGTGGTTTTGAAACTTTTAATCATACATTTCTATCCACAAAGTTTGAAAAATTTCCAGCTATTGTGTAGTTTAAGCATTTTTGCATCTCTATAATCGAAGCTCACCAGAATTATGTAAGTATGTAAACATAACAATCAATTTATGGTGGTCATAACTCATTCTAGAGTTGGAGGACGTGATTCGAATTCTCTACAGCGATGGCGAGTAGCTATGGTCATGGATGTTGTAAATGGCAAGATTTAGTAATCATCTATAGATGTTTAAAATGAGAACATAACTAACAAACAACGAAATGAGTACGTCATATAAAACACCAAAATCAATACGTTACAGCAAATACTTTCATCTACTATTTCTTGTGGTCGTCAAATATCGACAAATATAAGATAGCTTACTAATCATAAGATACATACTTAATGTGGCTACGAAAGGTGTTAAAAGAAAACGAATAGGAAAGAGTTGGTGGCGGTGCAAGTGGGAGTGGGGCAGCTGCAATGTTTTGCAAGTTGCGCAAAACATACTAATTGTGATTTTGCAAATTGAGTTTTCTTTTCTGAAAAAAAAAAAGAAAGAAAGAAAAATGTGCTTTTCAGATCCTTCACGCCACTGTTTCCTCTAATTTGATTGGACCTCTGCCCAAGTTCCCGCTCGTAAGAAAAAGTCGAATACGTTATACATATAAATAAATGAATATAGTTCACAAGTTGCAAAAGATTAGTACTTTACTTTATATCTTCGTGTTACATGAAGAAGGAGATTAGCTCATGTCTCGAAAGCGAGCCACAAATATTGGCGTACGGCCTTTATTACTATTTTTGGGTTGGGTTAAGGTGTGTTTCAACATTTTTACTTAAATCTATAGGGATGATTGGTAGGGGCTGTGGTTGCTCTGCACAGCCCTAAATCTCTCTACAGCAATACAAAATTACCAATCAAGCTCTCATTTTATCTCTTTCCATTTTTGAAACACAGAGCAATTTTATTTATTTATGGAAGTTCCGTGGCTTTGGAAAACAATTTTTCTAGAGAACCAAATTAAGTGCTCTTAGAATTCTCTCTCTTCTCTTTCCTTAATAATCTTTCAACATTTATTTTTTAATCTATTATTTCTATATCTTAACTTTTTTGTTTTAATGTTATATTTAATGACACAATCTATAATAAAAAATCTTACAGCACTAAAATCTAGAATCACAGCCAAAATTTCTACAGCATTAATTCTACAGCAAAAAAATTAAAGCTACAGCCACAACCAATCAGGTCCTATAGTTATTTGTTTTTTCGTAAACATTATCTAGAACGTTATATCCTCAAGGAATGTAGATGATCCTAAGGATATCTTCAAGATTATTCTTCAGTTGATTTCTTTTTAAACACCTGGCCGTATCCTTTAGATTAATCTCAACCGAGTCTCACCATCTATTTTTGAACTGAGTTTGTATAAATACTAAAAAGAAGCAAGATCCTTTCGTTTATAAAATCATCCATCACTACGCTACGTATTAGAACATTTTCGAAAAATATTCTACTTATTTTTCTTATAAAAGTCAAATATGTACTTTCGAGAAACCACTCAATTATCCATGAGGGAAAAGAAAAGGCGCCGCATGGTTTGTTTACGTAAACAAGTCTATAACAATGGAAGAAAGTTTATAAGTATAACATACTAATTAACGGTTCAACCAAATAGTTTGAAAAAGCTAAGTAAGGAAATACAATGAGGGCGATGGTTCCATATGGGACCGACCGAGGAGCTGCGGCGTGAGATCCTGCCAATGGTAATGCCAAAGAAAATGCATGACAAGAGCATGGTTCATGACGATGACAAAAATCCCAAGACGACTGTAGAAACTGAATATTTTACGTTATTTAGTCATACGTTCCTAATATTTTTTTATTTTTTCACTTCAGTAAACTTATTCCTATTATTATTTTCAGCTTCACGATTTTGTACTAACTACTAAGTGGTTCAAAATATAACAATGTACACAAATCTTAAATATTACTCCACTATATAGAAACAAAACTTTCAATTTATATCAACTTATAAATACTAAATTCTTTTTTGCCAACCAAACATTGTTTTTTCAGTTCAAATGGTTGGTTACCAAATTCAGAAGAGAAGAATTTTAAAATAAAATAAAATTACTCTGATATCTTTTAGATCAAAATTTATCCGGTAGAAAGATAATGAAAAGTTTAAGTTAAAGCAAAAAAGAAAACCTAAAAACGGGAAGAGTTAAATTCCAATCAGACAATGTCAGGGCATCTTACAAAACCAGAAAAATTCTAACAAAAGTTTGAAATACGTTTTGAAACTGTAATGACCAACACTTTTCTTCTATTTCATGTTCAATCCAGTGCATTAGAAAATAGTACAATCGAATTAGCTACAATGGACCGAGGGCATCCGCCTTCATGCCCGACTGGGCCCAGTCAATATATGATTCCAAATTCAACTAAAATAAGAGTTGCACGCACGACATAATTAATGTGAATCCCTCATATAATTTGTACATATTTTTTTTATCTTTTCAATTTGAAAATACTGTCTAAATTTGTTCTTATTATAAAAAGACAGAAACAAGGAAGAAAAAGAAAAGAAAACAATATGCATTGCTTTTGCAAACAATATACATATATATCAACCGATCGGATCTTGAGGTATCTTGAAGACAACGAATCGTATGAATGTGGAAAGATCAACAACTTAACCTTACCTTTTACATATTATATAAGATTTGACCATTTCTAACAATATTCTTGGATTATGAAAACACAAGCAAGTAAGTAGACCAGACTGTCACACAGAAATGCCATAATGACCCCTTTTGGCCACACCTTTCTCAGTTCTCTCTATTATGAAGATTGAAGAAGATCAAGGGGTATTCTCGGTAAACAATTTAATCGATAGTCACCTTCACTTGAAAACCAAGGGAGATGCAAAACCACACCAAAGTAAAGTACCCTATCACCAAAATAACTAAAACAAACAGCTTCATTTCTGTCTGACCCACCAACTATATCCGATAAAAAGTTCTCTATATATCCACAACTATTTATGAAATTCGTTGACGATACGTCGATACATATAGCCCTGAAGAGTGGTCAACGTTAACCCTCTACTTTTTTCTTGGCGCCTTTAGGCTCTTCTATAGAATCTTGGTTAAGGTCAGATTCCTTCATCGGTCAATCTCTATCTCATAGAGTTTTGCTTGACTTAATTTTCCTAACTTCAAGGATCATGAGCTTATTTCCACCTTGAAATCTTTAACATTTTGGGGCTCTTTGTGCCATTCATATTTTTCATGAGGAGAATCAATGAGGTTATATAACCTTCAAAATAATAAATATATCTTACAATCTTTAAATCGTAAATTTAGATTGTTCTTCCACAATATTTAGATCTTTTCAAAATGGAACATTACATCGCGAGCTGGAACGATCTAATGAAAGTCTAATACTTTTCTAATAACCCTAGGCCTTGATCGTTAGATCTTAGTCCAAAGGCCTTTATCAAGACTTTTGATCTCTGTTTGTTCATTAACTCACCATAACTTTAAGTTTAAACATATTTGTATGACCATACCTAGCATTCCATATAAAAAACTATTACACTAGTATAAATCTACCTTCTCAATTTTATATTTTGAAACCAGTACAGAAAACAGATAATTAAATCATAATTAATTTGATCCCCGCATGAGCCACATCCACTTTTTAACATTATAAAATACTATTATATCACCTTTGGTACTATGATGACTACAACTAGACTATATATATACATATAATCCACTGATTTCTCCAGTTTGTTTAAGATATGGAGTGTGTTTGAGGATAC